AATCAACAAATGTGACATGCTACATCAACAATAAGGACAACAAAAACCATATGATCATCTCAATAGATGCAGAGAAGACGTGATAAAATCCAACACCATTTTATGCTAAAATCCCTAAGCAAGGTAAGCTTTATAAAAAGAACATTCTACAGTACAATGAAAGCAATATGCGAAAAAATGCCAGCATCATAATCAAGGGGGAAAAATTGGAAGTTTTCTCACTAAGATCTGGAACTAAACAAAGATGTCTTCTTTCACCCGCTGATATTCAATATAGTGCTGGAAACTTCGCCAGACCAATTAGACAAGAAAAAGAAACTAATCCAATTGGAAATAAGGAAGTCAAATTACCCCTGTTTGCAGATGACATGATGCTATACATAGGAAAACGAAAAGACTTATTAGAGGATATTAGAACTCATAAGAGAATTTGGCAATCTAGCAAAACACAAAATCAGTGAACATAAATTGATGGCCTTCATATATACAACTTCATGGCTGAAGAAGAATTTGTACATAGTCTCATTCAAAATAGCAGAAGAACCACCTTCGAATAAACCTAACCAATCCTAACCAAAGGCATGAAAAACTCTATGAGGAAAATTATAAAACATTACAAAAAATAGAAGAAGATATTAAAATATGTAGAAATCTGCCATGTTCATGGATTGGTAGAATCAAAATCATTAAAATGCCCATATTACTGAAAATAATATACAGATTCAATGCAACCCTAATCAAAATCCCAACAAATATTCTTCTCTCAGCTGGAAAAGATAAGCTAGAAAATACATGGAAACACAAGAGAACACAAATACCCAAAGTTATCTTAAACAATAAAAACAAAGCTGGAAGAATTACAGTACCAGACTTTAAGACATACTTCAGGGAAGTGGTAATCAAAACAGTCTGGTACTGGCACAGAAATAGAGAACATCAATGGAACACAACAGAAATCCTAGAAGGGAGTCAATACATGTATACTCAATTAACCTTCAACAAGAGGACAGAAAATAATCCAGGGAAATGGTTGGTCTCTTCAACAAACGCTGTTTGGATAATTTGATATCTGTATGTAGAAGTAAGAAACAAACCACCACCACCCACTTTTACTTTATACAAAAATCAAGTGTAATTAGACCAAGGATAAAAATCTGCACTGAGAAACCATTAAACTATTAGAGAAAACATAGGAAGCATTCTGCAAGACTTCTTCAAAAGTCACCAAAAGTACAGGCTGTTAAAGCCAAAATAAACAAATAGGACTATATCAAACTAAGCAGTTTCTAAACAGCAAAATAAATGATTATCAAAGCAAAGAGGCAACTAACAGAATGGGAGAAAATATTTGTATACCACAACACAGATAGGTGATTAGGTGATTAATATCCAGGATTTGCGAAGAACTTCAGACGCACAACAGAAAAAAAAAAAAAACCCAGTTTAACAAATGTACAAAGGAATTTAGCAGACATTTTTCAAAAGAAAAAAATTCAAATCATTAATAGACATAGCAAATAATTTAGGAAAAAGAAATAAAACCACATCGAGGTTGAACTTAACTCCAGTGAGAATGGCCTACACACATAAATCTTCTAACAATATCTGATGGCGTGGATGTGGGGAAAAAGCTATCCTATGCCACTGCTGGTGATGGTGCAGATGAGAGCAGCAATTATGGAAGTAAGTATAGAGAGTTGTCAGACAACTGAAATTATCTACTATATAACCAAGCACCCCGACTCCTCAGGATATATCGAAATGAAGTAAAATCTACCTATGGGAAAGTGACCTGCATTCCTTTATTCACAGCTGCACAATCTACAGTAGTGAAGACATGAAAACAACCCAGATGCCTGTTGAAAGAATGGATAAGGAACTGTGATACATCTGTTCCATGGAATACTGCCCAACCATTAAGAAGAACAAAATTATGATTTGCAATAAAAATGGTCCTAACTAGAGACCATTCAGTGAAAAAAGCCAATCCCAAAAGGACAAACATTATCTGTTCTCTCTGATATAAGGCAACCTTCACGCAAAATACAAGATAATTACATATATTAAGTAAACACATATCTACGTATAGTCTCTTAAATGAACTATATAATAGGGATTAGCATACTGAGAAGTGAAGTTGCTGTAGTCATTTCCATCCTGAATTTAGGATTACTAGTAAAACTGTTAAAAATGCTTTGACAATAGGATACTAGACTTTCTACCATTGCTTTATAGCTACAATGCCATGATACACTTAAAACAGCAAGGCCTTGAGCCTTTTCCTGAGGGATTATGCTATTGTAATAATATTGGGGAAAATAGCAGGGGGAAGAGAAAAGTTTGCAACCGCTGGGATAACCATATGGGTGCTGGTTCATGTCTTGGTTGCTCCACTTTCCTTCCAACACCCGCTTGTGGCCTGGGAAAGCAGCACAAAGCAGCACAAAGCCTTGGGACCTGCATCTGCATGAGAGACCCAGTAGTTCTTGGATCCTGGCTTCAGATCAGCTCAGTTCTGGCCATTGTAGCCACTTGGGGAATGTACATCAGTGGACAGAAAAATCTTCCCATTTCTCCTTCTCTGTAAATTTGCCTTTCCAATAAAAAATTTTTTTTGAAAAATTATCAAAGACCTAAACTTTAGAAATAAAATTATAAAATTCAAAAAAAGGTTAAAATATTTATAATTTTGGACTTGGCAATGATTTATTAAATATGATACCAAATACAGATAACAAAAGCAAAAATTTGACTTCATCAAATTAAATTTGTTATTTCATAGCATACCATAAATAGAGCAAAAAGACAATCCACAGGATAGGAAAAATATTTTAAGTAACATATATGAGATTAACATTAAGAATACATAAAAACCCAAAAACTGAACCATAAAACAAACTACCAGATTAAGCAATGGGCAGAGAACTTCTAACGAGATTTTTTTCTCAAGAAGATATATAAACAGACAATAAACATGAAAACATGCTCAATATAACTGATTATAAAGGTTATGCAAAATCACAAGCAGGTAGAACTTCACATCCATTAACATTTCAGTCATATTAAAAAAAAACAAGAAAATAAGTACTGACAAAAATGTGGGGACATTAGAATGTATAAGCATTGCTGGTGGGACTATAAAGTGGTACAGCCACGGTGTAAAACTATGGGCAATCCTCAAAAAATTAAAATTACCACAGTCAATAATTTCTGACTAAACACTTCAAATATGTGAGAGCAGAACATGAAGATGTATTTTTACATCCATACTCACAGCAGCAGAGCAGCACTGTTCATGACAGGTAGAGGCAACTCAAGTGTCCACTGATGGATGAATGGGTAAACAAAATGGGCCACACATGTGCAAAAGATGGGCTATCATTATTTGGACTTAAAAAGCAAAGCAAATTCGAGCACATGCTGCAACAGGGATGAGCCTTGAAGACACTATGCTAAGTGAAATGAAACAGTCACAAAAGGACAAATACTGTATAATTTTATTATATAAAGCACATAACAGTAGTCAAATTCATAAAAAGATAGAGCAGAATGGTGTTTTCCAGAGGCTACGAGAAGATGGAAATGAAGTTATTGTTCATTGGGTGTATAAACAATACCTCAGCTTTATCGATATAAATGAAAATATAATCATATAATTAAGGTATCCAATTTGACTCTTTTATATACTATACATTTGGAAATAATCACCACAATCAAGAAATTGACACATCTTTACATCATATTCTCAGAGTTAAATGTGTGTGTGTGCGCACACACGCACGTGTCTATCAGGAATACTTAAAGTTACCTTTTGGGCAAATTTCAAGCACACAGAATTATTACTTTTAGATTGAATAGCTCTTCAGAACTGTTGTATAACTGAAACTTTGTACCCTCTAAACAGCATCTCCTTCATTTTCCCCTCCATGTAATTCCTTGGTAATCACCATTCTACTTTGATCTTTTACATATAAGTGAGATCACATGGTATGTTTCTTTGTGTCTAGTTTAGCTCAGAGCTTATAGAATGAACTAATCATGTTCTCCATAATGCTTTGAAGATTTAAACATTTATATTAATATTTATTTTTATTTTGGCTCTTATTTGAAGGAAATAGTGACATTCCATTCTTAGTGTCAGTCAAGAGCACAGGCTCAAGTAGCACTGTGTTGCAGATTAACGTCACTTCCTGTGACACAGGCATCCCACATGAGCACCCCATTGAGTGTCCACTTCCCATACAGCTTCCTGATTTGCCTAAAAAGCAACACAAAACAGCTCAAGTATCTGAGACCATGCCATCCATGCGGGAAACCTGGATGGAGTTCCTGGCTTCTGTGTTTGACTTAACCCAGTCTCAGCAATCATGGTCATTTGGGAGTAAACCAGCAGGTGGAGGAGCTCTTTACAGACATGTGAGACCCAGAAGTGGCTCCTGCCTTCAGACTGGCTCAGTTCTGGTCACTGTGGCCACTTGGGGAGAGAACCAGCAGACAGAAGATTTTTCTCTACCATTCCTCTCTGTAAATCTGCCTTTTCATTAAAAATAAATCTTAAAAAAAAAAAAGGAAATATCCTGCTGCACATTAGATCAGAAAATGTGGTATGGGATGAGATCTTTGCCATCGACTGATACTATTTCCTTATGGGTGGGAACCACTATTGTACTCATTCTCTAGTGTTCACCAGCCTTTGTGATCAGAGAGGGCACCAAAAACAACATAACTACTGGCTTCCTCAGAACTTGCCTTTATTGACATACAGATGTTCAACCATCACTCCTTAGTAGGAGACACTACACAAGTGTTAGGATCAGACAAACCATGTAAAATCACAGAGCAGCTAGCTTTAGGTCCAAGAGCACACAGAACTGTTTTTTCCTTGCCTATCATCTTGAGATACATTCTTATAGGAAAGCATGACTAGAATTTTCCTGAGTCTAAAGAGTCTTTATCATGCCCTTTTGACTATTTACTCTACTTGGGGATGAGGTATGTAATTAATTCTTCTTTGACAACATCTCAGAGGTGAAGGACATATTGGATGGGTTAGAATATAGTTTTGTAAAGAGTTCATGGAAGGATTCAGTCATGGGAACCTCTACAGGGGGCATTGGTTCATCAACCTTCAATGCGTGCAGTGTAGTTTGGAGGGCAGTACTGCTGGTGGCCTCCCGAGTGGATGCCTGGCTGTGTTCAGAGACCTGCTGGGGTACCAATGATTTAACATGAGGTTCGGCGGGCTTTAGTGGAGTGACAGTATTCTTGACAGGCCCCAGTTTCTTCTTGGGGGCTAACAAAAAATGCAAAATGTGTGGGTGGTTATATACATCCTTGGTTAAAGCTGGTTTGAGGGCTGATAGAGTCCAGGGGCTTTCCATAACTCTTGCAGGAGGTTTTACAGATAAGCCTGAAGCTTCTTGACTCCCACTTTTTTCCTTTGAGAGGCTTATACTATCTGTGGGATAGAAAAGACAGAAACACAAATCTTCAAATGTTACTGTCTCTGTCAGTCATATCTGAAATCCAAGTCATCTACCAAATGTCAGTTTATCACTCATCCTTCTGGATTCTCGACCACAAGCTTTTTTCCCTTCTGTTCTTTGTCTTTGTGTAAATTTTATCAAGGGTTTCCAATTGAGCTTGAGGCTATAGTGTGTGAGGCTCTAGCTTACCACAGACACCCTCAGAAAGCAAAGGCTGACATTTGCTTAAAGTTCACACATACACCACTGGTTGATTATGAAACAATTTCAGCAGAATAAGGATATCCTCAATTAGAATGGAAGCTTTTTTAAGGACATAGACTTCATCTTGCTTGGCACTACAAACAACCTCACAAGTATTTGTCACACATTAAATGCTAAATAAATTTTTTTGTCTGATTTACAGGGGAAAATAAACAGTACACACTGCTAAATAATGGGGCTAGGACATAGAGACCAAGCCTACTAAATACAAATGTTAAAAAATGAGATGACGTACAAAACCAAGAGAAAATCATGAAATTAAGAGTATAAAATGATGAGGAGCTATGAGGCAAAATCTAGAAAAAAACGAGAAACCTAGAAAATGAGAAGCCAGAGGAGTAAAACAAGAATTTGAATTTCTTTTTGCCTTAAGTATAATTACATATAGAAGAAGCAGCTTCAATGCATGAGTTGTTTTTTTTTTTCAACTTCACAAGAATGGGATTTTTACTGGACATGATCTTGTAAGTCTTCAACATATCATACTCTCAAATTCATGAATATGATATATTACTCCAATTATTCGGGACTTTTTTTCCTCTGTAGAGTTTCTTAGTTTCATGGACCATCACATGTTTTTCTTTGAGAGGTCTTTAAAGCTAAAATCTGTTTTGTTGGGTATTAGTAAAACCACTCTTGCTTTCTTTTGGTTAGTATTTCCATAGAGTATCTTTTTCCTTTCATTCACTGATCATCCCTTTTGTACTTCTGGATTTAAACTAAATCACCTGGAGACAGCACATAGTTGGATGATGTTTTCTTAATCCAGTTTGACAATCTTCATCTTTATTTGGAGAGTTTAAACCCTTTATATTTACAGTTCTGATTAATAAGGATGACTGTCACTTTGCAGCTTGTTATCCACATGCCTTAGAGCTCCTGTCTTTCATCTCCTGTATCCAAGTTTTATTTTAGCACATCATGGTATAAGTTTCTTTGTGTTGACTCTACCTGGAGTTGAGTTTCTTAAATTTTTTGTTCATATCTTTTACTAGACTTAAAAAAAATTTTTTAATTCTTATTGGTACTGATGAGCAGTCTAAAAATGAAAGCAAATGATCAACAAAAGTATATAGAAATATAGATGATTCAATCATCTGAAATAAGAATTTCCTAAGAAGAAAGAGGACAATGGACAGTATATATTCTATTTTGCCAATAAGTGTGAAAATTTAGATCAGCTATTCTTACAGTATCATTTAGGAACCACTGGGGATCTCTGAGACCTTTTTGAAAGAGGAGATCTGGTCTATAAAACCAAAATTAATTCTACTAAAATGTTATTTACTATTTTCATTGGGATTATCTCATTCATGTTTAGAATTTTTCAAACTATGACAGGTAACACTGCAAGAGCTTAAATTCAGGACTAGACTTGATGATTGTTAGCATCTATTAATCCAAAAAGTAAAAAGATTTGTAAAAATGTAAAATACAACCATACTTTTCACTATAGCTTTGTTTTATGACTATTTTGGAATAAAAGCTTCATTTGATCTAAAAGGCAGAAAAACAGAAAAAGGGAAGGACACCGATGTCAGAAATCATTCCTCTGTTCAGATGTCCACAAAGCCAGAGCTGATCTAGGCTGAAGCCAGGACCCTGTAACTATGAGTCTTTCTCACAGTTGGCAGACCCCCAACAATTTGAGCTATTACTAGCTGCTTCCCTGGAATGGAGAGCAGAGCCAAGACTTATACTCAGGCAATTTCATATTGTGTGTGGGCATCGCAAACAGCAATTTAACCACTGTACCAAATGCCCACAACCCAGAATTATTTTAACTAGTAAATATTTTATGGCATTATGGTTAAAAATGATAAGAAACAGATTTATATTCAGAAAAGCATCATTTAACAGAAATAAACCCAGAAATAGATAACAGAAGTTACAAACAAGAATCATAAACATTTATAGCTATGTTTAGATATTTAAAGGAAATGTGAACACAGTGAGAAATATTCAAAAGGAACCAAATGGAACCTGTAAAAATAAACATAGTGTATGAAATTAAAACCTAATTGAAAAGTTGAAATTAACAGAGTAGATGTTACAGAAGAAAACGTCTGAGAGGTTGAAGACAAAGTATGGAATAGCCTCCATGATTTTTAGTCTCTGGTTTACGTTTCTTGCACAAGCTCCTTCCTCTGAGTAGGGCGAGATACTTGAACATGAGAGATCACATTTCCCTTGGTTAGGCTATATTATATGACTAAAGTGGCAGAATAGTGCCTTTCTTGCTTAAATTATAGAATACTCCATCACAGCACACAGAAGAATCGGTCCATTAATTAGAACTGAAGAAGTAAACTATCAGGCTGTCAGAGACTTAAATGGTTAGGACCTTATGATGATTTCTGGGAGCGCAGAACAAAGCCTTATCACAAATAGCGCAAAAAAAAAAAATTTCAAAAACATTTCAGTTACACAACCATAAGAAATTTCATTCCAGTAATTATTAGTGAGCTTGAAAGAGTCTTAAACCTCAGATAAGATCAAAGCCCCATCAGACACCCTGATTTTAGCTCACTAAGACTAAAGCAGGGCCTTCTCATCTATCTACGTCTATGGAATAAGACAGCTGTGTTGTTCAGGCTTGAAGCTAATTTTTTACATAGCAATATAAAACTAACAGACACAGTGGGAGTCTAAAATAGGCTGAAAATACAAATAAACAAGTCTCAGCCACCTCTAGCATCCATGTAATTAGAACCTCCAAAGAAAGTAGAGTGTAAGGGAGAAAAACATCTGAAGAAACAAGGACTGAAAATTTATCTAACTGGATGGAAATTTTATTCTGACAGATCTAAGAATTTCATTAACCTCCATGCAGGATACAGATATCCACACAAACACACAAAAATAAGCCATAATTAAATTACTAAAACTAGTAGTAAAAGAAAACAATTTAAAATTAGCCAGAAGAGGAAATGAGGCTACAAACAGAAAGATATAAAAAACGAACTTTCCATAACAAACTACACAAAAGGAAGACAAATGATTAGCTCCTTTAAACTGTGGGAAAGGAGACAAGCTCCTTCAGGCACAGTTAGTTAAACCAGCATGTACAATGCCCACATCACATACTGGACTGCCAGTGTGAGTCACAGCTTCTCTGCTTCTGATCCAACTTCCTGTTTAATATGCCTGGGAAGGCAGTGCAAGATGGTCCAAGTGTTTGTATGCCTGCCATTAAAATAGAGTCACAGTTGGAGTTTCTGGCTCATGGCTTCTGCCTTGCTCATTTTTGACTGTTAAAGGCATTTGACAAGTGAATCAGTGGATTAGAGATCCCTGTCACTCCACCTTTTCTGATGAAGTAAATAAATCCTTAAAAATTAAATAAAAAGCTGAAAAACACATTCTCAAGCTAGAGAAGTGACAAATGCCTTCTGGAGGCAGTGATGGCACCAACAGGTGCAAGAGCCACCCTGGAAGTGATTGTGGTGCAAGATATGGCACTGTGTATAATGTTAAGAGGCTCCATTCACCTCAAGATAAGTGGATGTGACTGTGGCTTTTGCTATGGTATGGATGTCTCCCCAGTCTTCCTTCCTTCCTTGATTCTAAACTTATTCCTGCACCTTTCTAAGCATCTCATGGAGGTAACTAAATAGGCTTTGAATAGGTTTCTCTCTTTTTGGGTCATGCAAAACTATTTTCTGTAACAGGTCACTAAGAAGAATCTTTTAAGAGATTTATCTATTTATCTATTCAACAGTTACAGAGAGAGAGGGAGAAGCAAAGAGAAAAATATTTCATTGGTTGGTTAGCCTCCAAATGGCTGCAATGGCCAGGGATGGATCAAGACAAAGCCAAGAGCTTCATCCAGGTATCCCACATAGGTGGGAGAAGTCCAAGTACTCCGGCCACCTTCTGTTGCTTTCTGATGCACACCAGCAGGAAGCTGAATTGAAAGTGGAACAACAGGACATCAGTGCCCATAGTGGATGTCAATTTTGCAGGCAACAGCTTAAAGCACTATACCACAGGCATACAGTATAGGCACCAGTTTCTGTCCTAGCTGCTTGACTTCCAATCCAGCTCTGCTGATATGTCCAGGAAAGCAACAGAAGTGCTTGGACTTCTACCTCCCACCTGAGAGACCTGGATGAAGCTCCTGGTTCCTGGTTTTGTCCTGGCCCAGCCTTAGCCACTGCAGTCATTTGGGGGAGTAAAGCAACAATTGGAAGATGTCTTTCTCTATGTCTCTCCCTCACTCCTTAACTCTGCCTTTCAAACATACAAAAAATAAATCTTAAAAAAAGAACTCTTTAAAAAGAGGGGAAAGTTTAAATCTATTTCCTGCCTACCCTACTTTCTTAAAACCATTTCAACCTGGTGGATGGTACAGTCAAGTTAATAGACTGTTTCTAAGGCATAAAACCACCTGCTTTATCCAAATTTGTATAGTTCCCAAATATTCTTTCAAAACTCCTTTTCCACCCAAGCTTTGCTTGCTATTACTGTGTTCTAATCATTTCTTGGATGAATTGCTATTATGTGATGAATTATCCTCAGAGCCCAATTCAAATGAGAAAGCTCTAACCTTCAATGACTTGAAGGAGACAATTAAGGTTAATAAGTTCATAACGTGTGGCCCTCATTCAACAGGATGTTTCCGAGAGAGAGAGAGAGAGAGAGAGAGAGAGAGAGAGAGAGAGAGAGAGAGAAAAGTCATGTAAGGACACAGAAGACCAGAAGAAAATAATCTATAAGAAAGCCCTCACATTCACATCCAGCTCCTTGGACTTACAGCTTTCACATTGCAAGAACATAAATCTCTGTTCCTCAAGGCACCCCATCAGGGGAAGTGCTTTAACGGTCCTAACTTACTGATACAACTAATGATAATCATAAAGTAACAGGAGCACAGCCTTTTAGGCTTGTACTCAGAACGTAGAGTGATTTTTAATCTAGTAAATGCAGTTACGATTTGAGATTCCTGACAGTTATAGATTTGAGTGAACTGGGCTCAAAGTTTCCATTTCAGAGCATATTAGTGACCGCTGACCCTCATTTGATTTTTCCAAATTTTCTTTCTTTTTTTTATTGCATTTTATGACATAATTTCATAGACTCTGAGGTTCCCCCTACTCCCCCGTACCCTCCCCCACAGTGGATTACTCCACCTTATTGCAGTATTACGATTTTTCCAAATTTTCTAGCATACTTTCCATGGTCTCATTTGGATCCATTCCTGCAACCCTAAGTGGTGTATCAGCTCAGCTCTTTGCTACCAATCCATGAAATATTAGGCTCTTAACCTCTTAAACAAGAACTTACAATATCATTGTTTTGTGACTGTACCAACTTTACTTAAGGTTCCAGAACTGTGGATAGAACCAATAACCCAAACTCCACAGCCTTCTGTCACCTTATTAGTTTTTTCTTTGATGCTAGCCTGAGTTCCCAAACTAGTGGCTGACTGTGTGATTCTCCCTACAACACTCTAATAAGCTCTGGCTTCCTTTCCTCTTGCTGGTTTATTTTCTGAATCTTGAGTTAAGTGGCTGAATAAAAATTTTCTTTTACAGAAAAATCCATCCATATCACTCTCTTAAAATCATCTGCCAACTCCTTGTAGCCTATATGCAGAAATTACTCTCTAGCCTAGCAGTCCAGGAGTTAAGCAGCTTTCTTCCTCCACTTGCCCACACATATCACTTATTTTTTTAAAAGATTTATTTTTATTATTTTTTTTTATTGGAAAGGCGGATATACAGAGAGGAGAGACAGAGAGGAAGATCTTCCATCCGATGATTCACTCCCCAAGTGAGCGCAACGGCCGATGCTATGCCAATCCGAAGCCAGGAGCCTCTTCTGGGTCTCCCACACGGGTGCAGGGTCCCAAAGCTTTGGGCCATCCTCGACTGCTTTCCCGGGCCACAAGCAGGGAGCTGAAAGGGAAGCGGGGCTGCTGGGATAGAACCGGCGCCCATGTGGGATCCCGGGCGTGCAAGGCAAGGACCTTAACCACTGCGCCACCGCACCGGGCCCCACATATCACTTATAACTGTCACCCTATAAAGCACCTTCAGTCCTAAGAGGCATGTTACTTATTCTGTCCTGCACCAAACCTGGCCCACATGTCGATGGCTACTTTTGCCTGTTTCCTCATTGATCTGCAAGCCAGTCCTCCTCTCTCTCTTGGGCCACTCTCCACAAACAGCCTTCAATTATCTTCAACTCCTACTACAGGGCCTGGAATAAAATGGGTACTAATAACTGCAATGAATGGGTGTATGAACAAGTGAACAAATACCCATGTTTGAAATCTTCCAAGAAATTTCACTGCTTATACAATATAGTCCAAGATCTGAAGGTTGATGCAAAGGACCATCCCTGTCTGTTGCAGATTAGCTCTAAAAGGATAGCAAAATCTGCAGATGCTGAAATCTGTGGTATACCAATCTCATATATGTATACAGATATCCATATTACATGCACACCTTTCATCATCTCTGGAGTACTTATGTGGCTAATATACTGCAAATGCTATGTAAATTTTGCTATATTGTTACTAAAAATTCAATCACATGATTCATAATGAATCTTCAACTTGCAATTAACTTCCTATGTGATGATGGTTCCTCATGACTATAATACAACTGAAAAATTTATACCTAGTGACTTATATCCATAGCATCTAGTATGATGCACTACTCAAGTGTTTGCTGCAATGCTGGTAATCTATGCACTGTCGGTCTGTTAAAAAATACAGCACACATAATGTTGCAGAGTAGAAAATATTTGGCCATCAATGATTATATTAATAGCTTATATATTGACTATAATAAATTTTTTGAGAGACAAAGACAGAGCTATCTCCTGTCTTCTGGTTTACTCCTCAAATGTCCATAATGACCTGGCTGAGCCAGTATTAACCTGGAGGCTGGGAATATAGAACAGATCTCCCACCTGGCTGATTGGAATCCAACCATTAATCAGCATTCGTGCCTTCCAAGTGTTTGCTTTAGTGGAAAGCAAGAACTGGGAGTAGAGTCAGGACTTGATTCCAGATGTTTCAAAGTGGGATGCCAGCATCCCAACCAATGTCTTAACTTTGAGCCCAAATGTGCGCTGCTATTCTTTTTGTCACTATTTGAGAGTATATTTCTTGTGCTTAAAAACAAAAGCTTACACCGGCAGCAGCTTCATACATCTGATAATTACTATGTCTCCCATTTTTAAAATATTCATTGTATTTGAAAATCAGAGAAATGAATAGAGGAAAGGAAATAGAGAAAGGAAGTGTAGGTTAAGACAGTGAGGGGTAGTAGGGTATAGAGGAGATGTTTCATCCACAGGTTCATTCCCAAAATACTTGTAACAGCTAAGGCTGGACCAATCCAAAGCCAGAATCCAAGAACTCCATCTAGGTCATCCATGTGAGTGGTAAAGACAAAAGAGCTTGAGCTATCATCTGCTGCCTTCCCAGGATGTGCATGAGCAGGAAGCCTGATCAGAAGAGAAGCAAGCAGAACACAAACCAGACATTCAGGGAATAGGGCTATCCCAAAGCGGCTACTTGAGTACTACGCCAAATGCTAGCCCCTGCTACTTCTTTTGATCACATCATTTTCTTTTGGGCTTGATCTTATTTTTCACTGTTTTATTTAGCATGGACATAAGAACAATATGCCACACACAAACACACACGCACACACACCCCACAGAGCCTTTGTCTGTAGACTCTGCCACCTGGCTTTGTATAAATGCACTCTGATGTTAATGCCAACAAAAACTGCTTAATGATGCATTTCTCAGAACGTATCCTTATTGTTTAAAAAAATGTATAAGGAAAAAGTCTGTACATGTTCAGTACAAATCTAACTACTGGAAACCCAATTGTGTAATACATATCCCCATGAATGTAACCATTTTTTCCCCAAATATATTCAAACTGTGGTTGGTTGAATCCTCAGAAGTAGAATCCAGAGATACAGAGTGGACAGATAGTATTTTCTGACTTCTTCCTGGTCTTCATCCTTCCCCAACTTCCCAGACATTCTCAGCTCTGATTAGAGACATGACATACAGACACCACTCAGACTCCTGGGGGCACACAGGTAGAGATGGAGAGATAGGAGCAGCCTACATCTTTGACTTTACCTGTTTGAGTGCTAACACTTTCATTCAATTTTGCTTTTTTCATCTCTCTCCGCCTAGAAGGAAGCAGATCAGTCATGAACTCACAAACTTTTTTTTTATATAAAAAGCAATAATACAAGGCAGTGGCCAGAAAAGAAACACCATCCAATCAGATTTGAGCACAAGGTTTGTGTTTCTCCCATTTAAAGGATAAGTCACAAATCAAGATGGGGTCAATAAGCCTATGCTTTCCACTGACATTCTTCTTCCAGTATGTTCCTTCCACCTTGCACTATGAAATTTACAATCCCATAGTACTGCCCTGCAAGGATTCTTATCTGTCATGGTCCTGCATTATGGCCTAGAAAGTGGCAAATATTTTGCCAAGTTCACTCAGCAAACAAGCTGCAAATCAGGAACTAAATCTCTGCATTCTGAACTTGCTCTTTGCTCAGCATCCTCCTCTATCCAGTTCACGGCAAGCAGGAAGATGGAGGCACTTGTCTGGAACAAAATTCAGGTCCCGCCCTCTTGCCACTAAGTAGTCCACACCGAATCCACAATAAGAGAGTTGACAAAGCTTTAGTAAAGTTTTTCCCTGAAAATACCATCTTGGGAAGGTAGATGGGGCATAAGGATTCATAGGTCGTATAAGAAGAAATTAAACATTTAGATTATATAACCCATCTTCCCAGGTATGATTAGTGGAAGAGCGTATCTCTTTTTCCCTCAACCTTCTGTAAGAATCCATTTATTACTCTGATTTGGGGAGGAAATCACTTAAAATTAACAATACATACTTACCACTGAAAACAAAATATGGCAATGATGAAAGTTGCAGAAATAATGTCCATGAGAAACCACATGAATATGTAGTACCTTGGTGTCTGCAAAACATAATACAGACCACAGTTAAAGAACTTCAAAGTTGGAAGGGGATTTTAAACCACATAGGCTCCACCACCAGAACTGGAGAAGAGAAAGGGGGTGTGGGCCAGGTAAAGAAGCCTTGACTGATGTGGCAGTCTCAAACATGAAGAGCACCTGCAAGTATCCTACCATGTAACTCTCACACAGGTAGGGGCACTAACTTACCACTCCTTGTCCACACACAGAGGTCTGAAGGAATGCCAGAGAAATCACACAGGAAGTTCACTCTGGACCCAAGGCTCAAACCATAAGTTTCTGGACTTAGGGTACTACTCCTGTGTTTTCATTATATCACCTCCCCAAACTGGACTGTGCAGTCCAATATCCTAGAGCAGCTTTTGATAACACAGGTTTCTGGATCTCACAAAGACCTAAGGAATCAGAATCTGCATTTTTAACACGCTCCCCAGGTGATGCTCTCTCTCCAGTCTTGACATTGACTAGGTCTGAAACAGAGGCAAGTGAGGGTAGAGATAAAAGAAGACACAAGACTGCCTTACCATTTATGGCTCTCTATCTAAAGCTTTATAACATGCAGAGGAGTTTGGAATTTGTATTCTCTTGAATGGACACTTGATACTGATATGACGCTTTATGATAACAGTAAACTTTTAAAAACCATCCCAGAGGGGGCTGGAGTCATGGTATCGGCTGCAAGGCCAGCATCCCATATTGACACCAGGTCTAGTCCCACCTGCTCCACTTCCAATCCAGCTCTTTGTTTATGAACTGGGAAATCAGCAGAGGATGCCTCAAGTTCTTGGGACCCTGCATCTAAGTGATAGAGCAGGAGGAAAACCCTGGCTCCCAGCTTCAGAAGGCTCAGCTCCAGCCATTCTGGCCATCTGGGGAGTGAACCAGCCAATGGAAGACCTCTCTCTGTAATTCTTTCAAACAAAAATAAAATAAATCTTTTAAAAAATCATCTGAGAATGACTGGAATAGCTGTGGGACCTGAGTGAGATTTCATTGAGGAGTAAAAAAGCCTAGCTCATAGATTAGCTTTAGAGAAAAAATGGAGCAAAGTTTAATTTTCATTCAATTGATCTACTTTATTCAGATAAGAAAAACAAAACCTGTAACAGTAGCTCATTAACTCCCTTCATAGATAATAAGGATTAGGATTTCAATAGACTCTAGCTCTAGTCTTTAGGTCCCTCAAGCCCCTGGCACTGAGTAACAGTGAATAAAAGGACAATGATGGAAAACCAGGAGAGGAAATTTGACATTGGTGCTCCCCATTTCACAGGCATTTTGTGAAGGACATACAATTTTCACTATGGAAACAAGTACACGTGGTTTCTTTCCATACCCCCTGGTTTTGCCCATTGTATTTGCACCTATAGGATGCTGGAATTACACTAATTAACCTTTGGAGTTGGAGCTTTGAATCCCTAAAAATTGAGACTTTTAGGTTGGGCAGAACTCAAGTGACTCCACCACCATGCCTGAGTCAAGGTGACACTCCCAGCCAGGAATGTTTGCAATTCAAAATCACCCTAACCTTGTCTCTGTGCAGAAGGTACCTGCCATGATGGGTACTCCATGCTACCAATCACAGGCATGTGCAAACCAAGGAGCTGCTGCCTTCTCCCATCCTCTGCATCTAAGATACAGTGCTGTACACCTCACACAGTCACCCTGCCATATGGAAGTGGTCACTGGACAAGCAGCTCACCATGAAGAAGTGAGGAGAATCAAGCTGACTCAGGAGCGGGATGTTGTCTGTGGTCACCGAGTCAATCCTGGAGCACCAGGCCAATGAGAAGAGCCAAGGCTCATTGACCAAGTATAGGTTGATGTTGATATTAGCTGCCTTATAATCTCTGGAACAAAAACAAAATCCATAGAGGGTTCACAACACTTAAAAGTTAGAATAGTCAACATCTTTGTGAAAGACTACTGCCTAAATCACCAGAAGCAGATAGTCCAGGGACAACGTATGACACCAAGTGACAAAATGAGCTCATACTGCCATAAAATAAAGTAGTGTACTTGTCCTTTCTGTCTCTATAGCAATACTGTGTCCTAGTAAACTACATGTACTAAGAAAAGTTGGGAAAACAAAAAAACAAAAAGAAAGAAAGGAAGGAAGGAAAAGAAAAGGGGGGAGGGGAGAAACAGGAGAAGCCAAATTCTGGAGCACCTGGAAGATCTCATGGTGTAACTAATCCTATAACAGGCAATTTCAAGATATCAATAGTAAAAAACCAACTTGCAAGATCTAAGAATATTTAATAACTACTTCTACAAGCTTGTATGAACTACTGTTGACATGTTACATGTAACACCAACACTTATATGCTCCAGAACACTTAATATCCTTAGTACAATTATCTGCTCCCTATCACTATGTTACTCTACCATAAACAAGTTAAAACACAGAATGTACTGTATTCAATTCTGTATATTCAGACCTAGCATGGTGTCTAACTATAAATATCAATTGAAGGAGGCCCAACACAGTATCCTAGTGTCTAAAGCCCTTGTCTTGCATGCGCCAGGATCCCACATGGGCACTGACTTACGTCCCGGTGACCTCACTTCTCATCTAGCTTGTAGCCTGGAAAAGCAGTTGAGGACAGCCCAAGGCCTTGGGATCCTGCACCCATGTGGGAGACCTAGAAGAAGTTCCTGGATCCTGGCTTCAGATCAGTGCAGCTCCGGCCCATTGTGGCCACTTGGGGAGTGAATCAGCAGATGGAAAATCTTCCTCTCTGTCTCTCCTCCTGTCTGTATATCTGACTTTCCAATAAAAATGAATCAATAAATCTTTAAAAAAAATAGATCAATTGAAGGAATAAATATCACTCTGGTAAACACTTGAAATTTCAAGCATAGAAACTTCTTACAAACACTGAATAAAGGGAATATCACCCAAATAATCCTGAGGCACTATCTGTCTGAGGATACTTTTACAGTTTCCATAAACATAAAGAAAACAGAAGGATTGTTTAGTAATTCTAGCCCAGCTGCCCTTATTAGAGATTGTTTCTCAAAAATGCATCATGTATGTGCCTTAATTTTTTTTAACCTAGACATTGTATAGCGTATTATAAACTGTTACATACAAATTTGGGTGGAAGCAGGCAATTAGCTTTGGGTGAAGACATCCATGTCTCATACTGGATTGCCACACTTCGATGCATAGTCCTTGTTCTTGATTTTAGACTCCTGCTAATGCAGACCCAGAGAGACCCTGATAATGTAACAGGAAACTGGGTTTCTGCCACCCACATTGGAAACTTAGATTGGGTTTCAGTTTCCTGGCCTCCAACACTGGCTATTGTGGGGATCTGCGGAGTGAGCCAGTAGATTTGAATTCTTATTATATCAATTAATTTCAAAATATTTTTAAGTTACATAATTTACATGGGAAGGCACAACCCCAGGATAACAGAAATAATCTTGAAAAAGAATAAAGAAAGGGGAAATCACTCTACCTGAGAATAAGGCTCACTATACAGCTATAGTAAGTAGGGTAACACAGTACTGGAGAAGGGATGGATACCAAAACTGATGGAACAGAACAGAAAACCCACAAAATGACCCACAAAAGTATGCCAAATGACTTTCCTACGAAGGTATAGAAATAATTCAATGGAAAAATGGTCTTTTTAATACATGGCGCTAAAGAAATCGATGGCTATGAGTAAACAGTGTCACCTAAACCACAAATTTTTATAACAAAATGAACTCAAAATGGGTTACAGAAACAGGCTGTTAGCCCAATGGTTATGATACCTGTCTGATCCAGAGTCCTGGATTCAGCTGGATTCACCCATCTCTAGTTGTTTAATGTAGTTTCATGCCAATGCAAACCCTGGGAGGCAATAGTGATGACCAAATAACTAGGTTGCTGCCATACACATGGGAGGCCTGGAAACTAGCAGATGAAAAATAGGAGAAATGCTCCATGACAACTCCTCTGGCAGGACACAGACCCAGCAGGTAAACGCAAGAAACATGATAGGAAACAGCCCAGAAAAGGCCATGGAAACCTACCCACTGGCATACAGTTGGCAGACGTGGGGGCAAGACCAGGCTGAATCTGTCCACATCATCCACTGGCAAATCCAGGCACCAGTGTGGGTCGACCCAGGGTCGGTCGCAACAAAGACTAGTGCACATTATGGAATGCTGAGGTGAGGTTGCCTGTACCAGAAGGGACCGCAGCGCCCAACCAGCCTGAGAACAAGAAAGGAAGTGGGCAGAGCTGGCAGGGGAATAAGGGAGGGTTCCTTTGCTGGACAGCTACTTCCGCAGGAGAGCATGGGCTGGGATGGGGGCAGACCAGACTAGGCAGAGCTACCACACCTGTGCGCCTCATGTGGACTAGATCAGGGAAAAGCCAGGCTGGGCGGATTATTCCTACTGGTGCAAACAAAATTAAAGTGGGCGAGGTTTGTTTGGGCAGCATCAACTGGAATCTGGGAGTGGGAGAGGCCTGGGAGGGAAATAGTGGGCTCATCCCTCTTGGGTTACCACTTCCACGGGAGGACATAAAACTAAGACAGCGGCTGGGGTGGAATGGGATGTGGGACAGACTGGATTACTGCTACACTTACTGGCAAACCAGGGTAGGGGGTGGGCCTGGTTGGGGTTATTGTGGGTCGCTCCAACCTAGGCTACAGCTCCCGCTGGTTTATGTGAGGGCCAAGTATGTGCTGGGCAGAACCAGACTGGACTGCAACACCCATTGGTTCCAGTGGAAGTCGGGAGTGAAAACAGAACCAACCCAGGAATTGCAACCACCAGCTGATTGGAGCGATGGACGGTGCCAGGCCCTGTACTTGTTAGCACATACAAGAAGTTTCTTTGGAGATCTTCCTAATCTAAATGCTGGACTCAGAACCCTAACGAAGAAAAGAGAGAAGACAGAACAGGTCAACCAACCATCTAAGCTATGATGGACTATGTCAATCAGTGGATTTTTCAAAGACCTCATAGTGCTTGGAGCGGCAAGATTGACAGCGATTCATAACTGTTGCAATATCAAAACCACTTGAGCAAGAACCTCAGAGCATGCCCTACACCCGGGACTTGGGGAGGGTGGGAAATTGGGTGGGCCTTCTCCCTTAATACCCCCCTTTTAAACATGAAGGTAACAATATGGAAAACATATTAGTATTATCCACTTTCCTGTAGCCCTTGAACCTTCTTACCCTAATTAACTATGTAAAGAATGTCAAAATAAAATTTATTAATAAGAAAAAAATAAATAAATAAATAAATAAAATAAATAAATAAAAAAAAAAATAGGAGAAATGCTCCATGACAATGCTCTGGGAAGTGATTTTTTTTTTGTATGTGACCTTAAAGGGACAGGCAAAGAAAAAAAATTAGAATTATATTAAACTAAGAAGCCTCTGAATAGTTTAAGAAGAAACAGAGGAAAGACAATTCACAGAGTAGGCAAAATACTTTGAAACTATAAATATGATGTTAACAGCTAACATATAAAATAATTTTAATAACACAGAAGCTAATTTTTCAAAAATATATTAAATGTTCCACAGTACTAATTGTCAGGAAATCTAAATTAAAACCACAGTGAGAAATCACCCCCTATTTGTTAGAATGGCTGTTACAAAAAAGACAAAAGAAGTGATGACAAGATGTACAGAAAAGATATTTTATACTGTTGAAGAGAATGCAAATCAACACAGCCATTATCAGAAATAAGATGGAGGTTCACAAAAGTTAAAGATAGAACCATCGTATGATCTAGCAATCCTACAGATATATATTCAAAGAGACAAATCAGAATTTTGAAGAGATAATTGCATTTCTCCATTCATGTCACAACAGTCAAAATATGAAACCAACCCAGGTGTCCATAAATGGAAGGAGTAAAATAAATGTGGGATAGACTACTCAACTTTAAAAAGGAATTTCTGTATTTTGCAGTATGGATGAGCCTGGAAAACATTATGCCAAATGAATTAAATCGTGCATAGAAAGACAAATGCCACACGATTTGACTTATATACAGAATCCAAAAAAGTCTACCTCACAGAAGTAGAATTTAGAATAGTAGCTACCAAGAGCTGGGAGTGAAGGAGAGGAAAGATGCTGGTCAAAGGACACAAAGTTTCACTTGGATGGGGAATATTTTCATCGACTTCAAAGGTAGAAAGAAGGAGAAAAGGATGGAAAGAGGGTGAGAATGGAGAGAGGGAGAGAAACAGACAAGTCTTCTGTGTGCTGATTCACTTCCCTAATGCCAGAAAAAGCCAGGGCTGTGCCAGGCCAAAGCCAGAAATCAGAAACTCCATCTGGGTTTCCCACATGGGTGGCAGGAACCCAAGCACTTGAACTGTCATGCACTGCCTCCCAAGATGCCAGAAAGCATTTATAGACAGTTGTATTGAAAGAAGAGTACTTCCATAGGGAATGCTGGCATTCCAAGCAGCAGATTAACCTACTGCACAACACTCACCCAAGCCATACATTTTTTAAATCTATTACAAAACAGGATGACTAGAGTCAATGATATATTGTATATTGCATAATATTTAGGAAACTAAATCCCAAATGTTACAATCAAAAACTAAAATTATGAAGCAATGATATGTCAATTTAATAATTGCACATTGCATATCAAAATGCATTATATTCTATAAATGTATGCAATTAATTTACCAACTAAAAAAGTAGTAATTTTAAAATATTTGAAAACACTTCAAAAATGTATCAAAAATCCAAGTGAAGGGTAGCATGGTGGCTAATCCTCCACTTGATAGTTTAAGTTCTAGCTGCTCCACTTCCCATCCATCTTTCTGCTTACAGGATGGAGAATAGAGTTCAAGTTCTTAAGCCCCTACCCCCACACGGGAGACCTGGAAGAAGCTCCTGGCTCTTGGTTTTGGATCCACTCAGCTCAGGCCACTGTGGCCATTTGGGAGTGAACCAGTGGACTGAAGATCTTTCTCTGTTTCTTTCCTTCTCTGTAAAATACATCTCTCAAGTAAAAACAAATGAATCTTTGTTTTACATAAATCAAACAGGGCTGGCATTGTGATGCAAGTGGTTAAGCTTCCTCATACCCATATCCTGTGTCAGAGCACTGGTTTGAGTTCCAGCTGCTCCATTTCTGATTCAGATCTCTGCATATGTGCCTGGCAAGGTGGAAGATGCACTGAGTACATAAGTCCCTGATCCCCTGCTGAAGATCTGGATGAAGCCCCAGACTCCTGGCTTCGGTCAGGACAGCCTCAACCATTGTGGTCATTTGGGAAGTGAGCCAGCAAATGGAAGCTCGCTCTGTCTTTCACATAAATCAATTTCTAAACATGATAAAAACAAAGGGCATCTTTATATTCATATATTTTTTAGTAAAGTAAAGCATTTAAAATACTAGGCCTAAAATGGCAAAGTCACAATCTCTTGTGATTGCTGTTACAGACTAGGAAGCAAACACTGATCAGAGGGGAAATGAGACTGTAATCACTGTAGAGATACTTATGGTATAACCATTTACTCTTACAACGTAGAGGTCTCTGAGGGGAATGATTTGGAATAAAGTCTTACCTGTGAACTTAACAGAGTCAGCACCACAGTACATTTATTTGAAAAAAGTCTTACTTTCATTATGGGAGTACAGCCTTCCCTCCAGTGCAGAAGAATGTCTGGCTTATATTGATCTTTCAGATAAAAAGAGAAATGGTACTACATATAGTCCTACTTGTAACTGTTGAGCTTTTAAAGAGGATTCCTGTTACATCTGTTGCCAGTTGCAACTATGCCTGTACAGCTATGCTAATAAGTAACTTTAAAGGTACAGCAGAGAAAGAATTTAGACTCTGAAGTGTGTCATACCTGACCAATTTCATTAACTTGGATAAATTACCTAACCCCCACTATCTAAAATGATACACATAGAATGGTGGTGACAGTTAAAGCAGTAGCTAACATTTACTGTCATCTTATATATGCCCAGATTTTTACTATGTGCATAATAAAAATTATCTGTCTTTTAGTATTTCAACTCCAGCAGCTACCATTGTTAAGTCAGAGGAGGAAATGGACACAAACCTGCCCAAAGTCACATGTGCAGCTGACATGCAGGTCAGTATCTTAAACACAGTCTTTGGTCTAACAAGCACAAAATGTGACATATAGTAATGGCTCAATAAATAGAAGTGATGATAGCTATTTTCTGACTACCAGGTCAACCTAAGTTAGTATTAGGAGAGAAGGAAATCATCATCCTTATGCCATTTTCTACTTGAAAAAAAAAAGTGGGTGGAAACAGATGTATGTCCAAGTAATCAGAAATCTTAATAAAAGGAAACAGGGCAAAACACACATGATTTTAAAATGGTAAAAGAAAAAACACATCATTATATAATCAACCACACCTGAGCAGAAACACAGGGAAAACAGGAACAGGGATGCATAAAGTAGCCAGGCTCATGCTCTGGGATGCAGGAGGACATACAGGGTAATTTTTATGATAACCAAGCAGACAGTTTATACTTAAATACATATAAATATGAAGGGAATACAGACAGATGTATGTATATGCATGCACATGTATGTATATGTATCTCCAAGAAATATTGTCTCTGTCTCTGAAGTATTTAAAATTATCTAAATAAAAATCTCAAAGAAAAAGTGGAATGGGTTAAATTAAGTAATGATTAATGATAGGAAACTGGAAATTTGCCAAATTATTCTCAAGTGCTTTCAATCTGAAAATGATCTCCAGTCATTCATTATAGACATAGTAGCTGGTGGTTTTTTCTCATGCTTGGATATTTTGTTTTTATTTTCTCAATCAAGTATATTTAGAATTTTGAAATCTGATTTTTTTTTAATTGTTGTTGTTTTGCAAAGCTGGAAGGTAGGGGGAGAATGAATCAAAATGAAACAGAGAAAGAGTGAGCACACACTGACTGGTGCACTTTCCAATGCTCACAATGGCCGGTCTGTTCCTCCTGGGGGGTTAGGAACTCAATCACCTGGGCTATCACTACTGCCTCCAGGGTCTGCATTAACAAGACGCCGCAGTCAGGAGCAGGAACTAGGCACTGAAACCAGACACTTGGATTTGGAACGCTGCCTTTAGACTCTTAAGCTAAAAGCTCCTCCATTACCTTTTAAAGGTTTAATTATATTCTTAATTATGCCTACAAGAAATACCTGAGTCACAAAGCTATTTTTGTGGTAATGTACTCCATCTAATATTGGTAGGAAAAAATAAACCATTATTTTTTATTTGACTTTTCAGTGTTTATATAAAAACAGAAATGCCAAGCCTACAAAAAAGTGTGTTAAATGATGACATTGTAGTACAAAACAGGGACTGAAGTCTACGTTCCAAGAGCATGTTTCACGCTTGATAAGTGTTTATTGGCAGAAGGAGGGAGGAGGAAGGGATACTATATAGGATTCCAAGAAGATAATCACAGAAAATAATTCCAGAATGGGAAAAATTTAGCTTAGTTGGAATACAAATACTGTGCAAGTAAAGCAATACATGACAAGAATGCTATGATCACTTACCTGAAACCTCTATAGAACAAATTCTTGTAGTCAACATTTATTGTACTGATATTTTCTTTTTTAAGTTCTTTAGTGGTATATAACCGGCCCACCATTTGAAAACCAGGTGCCTTCTTCCTGACATACTGTCTGTCATGAGTTGACAACCAGTAAATCTGCCAGGAGAAACAGAAAGGCCCTTAATGAATAATTACTTGCCTAGGTACAACAGACCCCACAGAGAATCAGTAGTGTCATTCCAGCACTGGTAGTCTATAGTGATTCTAATCCTTGAATAAGAGTCAATTTCATCTAATGTTAGTTAATGAACTTTTATAATGGGGTTTTCACTAAGGCTGTTCTAGAGCTTTTTTCTTAGAACTGTTCCATTCACCAGTTAATTAAGTGCCAAAGGCCCTCTGTATACAGAAAATTTCATGCTATTAAAGAGTTGGCAAATATGAGATAAAGGTGGTAACTGAAAATGTCTGTGATTGAGGTACCTAAAAATCACCTTGAGAGAAATAACTTCCTACCAACAGGGACAGTCATGATCCATCTGTAGAAACAGTTCCATTTGCAAGACACATTTGTTTCTATCATAGCATTTTTTTATTCTGGGACTTTGATTTAAAACAACTAACTGCTCAAATGCACTTACTTCCGAAAAATCTGAGGAATAAATCTCAGTGTAACTAAGAGCCAGCTGTCATCACATAACATTTAGGAAAGTTAAGTCCTCAAAGCCTTAGGATTATTCAGGCTCCTTCAAATAGATCCATTTTAGTGATGGTACAGTCACATCACATAATTATTAACACTACATTTTACTGATGTTGCTACTTCACATGGTTTAGAATAGCAAACAGACTCAATGTTTGTCTCCACTGACAAATTTATCTGGCTCGTTGATTATTCCATGTAGCTGTAAATTTAACAATCTCCATTTCCACAGGAAGCAAATTATCCCAAAGTCAGGAAAACTTACAAGGTAGGTCAAGGACAGGTACAACGACTATACTCCAAGGACACAGTACTCACCTCACAACCTTAACTATAAATACTGAGACAAACATACCAGATGTGGCTCAATGTTAGAGTTGAGGATCAGATCTGTTACATGCTTGACAAACGAAGTCGTGAGAGGATGTGTCGCTGGAGGGCCATAAAGATCAAATATCAAAAACACATTTGCCTTCTTTGCAAGTTCCAACAAATCATCTAGTTTTGGAATTGACTGATTTCTTGCTCTGTTTTTATCAGCCTCTGACAGAGGTTTCATATTGTAAAATGGCTTGCGCTAAAAATAAATACATCAGAGAATACATTGGTTCCTAACCAAAGCATTTTCTAGTTCTCCTGCTATGTGGTTCCACACCCAGCTCCTTATTGCTCCATTACCGCTCAATCCACCAGGTCTTCTGAAGCATCAGTTGTGAGATAAAAGTTATCAGAGAAATAAACTGTGATCTCTATCAGTAATTATGGTGTTTGGAATGATTTTTCTTTTCTGTATTCTAGAACCTGTTATATTTGCACTGATAATATTTTATTCTGTTCTTGACCTTCCTTTCCAACCTTTCCTCCATAATTCCATGTAATTCATTCCCTTTTAGTCACACTGGCTTCCTGCATGTGCTCTCACTGTTCTAGTATTGTGAAGGAAAAAGAACATGTGCTCTGTCTACAAACTGAACTGGACTCAATCCCAGTTCTACTCCTCACTTGCCTTTCTTGTCACATTCACCTGCTAAAATCGTGCTCTAAGTCCAGGCCAATGATATCTCCTTCATGAAGTTTAAATATTCCTAAACCAAAATTTTGTAGCTTTTAATTCCAAAGGTCCATTTTCATGCCTTGTAATTTGATGCTTCATTCTGCCTCCTTCAGTTATTTGTACGTGTTTAGATAGACTTAAGTTCAAATGCTGGCTCAATACACTTTTTGTTGTGCACATGCAATAAAACAATTAACATTTATTCATGAAAGAATAAATTTAAAAAAAAACAGCTCCTGTCTACTAGTTCATTCCCTTAAATACTCTAAATAACTGGGGCTAAGCTAGTAGAAGCTGGGAATGCAATCCAGGTCTCAGACGAAAGGTAGCAGGGAGTCATTTCCTTGAGCAATCACTTGCTGTTTCCCAGGATGTACATAAGGAGGAAATTTTTAAATGGGGGGAAGAAGAGACTTGAACCCAAATACTACAACAAAATATACAAATTGGCATCTTAACTGCTATGTCAAATGCCTTCAGTTTCCAGAACTACAAAATGGAAAAAGGAAGGGGTTTTCTAGCTGCTATTCCTATGATTAGTCTGAAGATTAAAGATGATATTAACAGCTTATGGGAACATGCCTGGTCCACAGAAAAACACACAATTCATGTTAATTCCCTCACTGCCTACTGATTCTATTAGAGGTGTACCTCTATCACAACAGGAAGTACCACTTATTCTTTGCAATGAGCATATACCTTACACATAGCTCACCATACATACTATTAAATGTAATCAATGGCTACTTTCATTATCACTTTTGCCAATTTTAGACCATTTGCAGATGAAGGCAATAGTCAAAGGCTATTTCTAAGAGAAGCAGTAACTCTTCACATTAAAATTCCATATTTTTCTCTGTGTAACTTTTCATTTTCATTGCCACCTATATTATAGCCACTCCTGTTTCCACTGGCTTCCTAAAAAACTGCCCTTTTTCTTATTTTTTTCAGGAGAGAAACAGTAACATTGTACACTAGCCCATAAAATTACTAGAGAAGAGGGCAGATCACAGAAACTCAATGAAACCATGGTTGATACGATCTGTATTTGAGTTGAGGGTCACAATTAAGGTTTTTCTGAATTCTTGGGAAATAAAAATTTATTTTATAATACAAAAAAAATTTAAATGCTACAGACCCAGACAAATTGGTTCCCTTGTTAGACCAAAAGTAAGGAAAATGTTCAAGTAACAGAAAGAGAAAATCCAAATGAAAACAGAAAATTTGAAAAAAGTATTAATCAACAGAGTTTAAAATTAGATTCCAATAAACAGTGTTAGAAGGGTAGCTGTAACAGCTGGACCAAATTGTCTCTTGTTGTATATACAACATGGGATTTAATCAGAAAAATAAACTGGAATTGGACAATGCTTATTTAGACTATATCCCAACATTTGGTTGAACATTTTAGCAAAGGAAATAACAAAGTCATAAGTGTTATAATTTATTATAAACTATTGTAATTCATTCCACAAATAAAATACTTGTTTCTTTTTAAAAAAAATCAGAAACAAAATCCTCTGTTCTCTATTCCTTTGCAGATGTTTTATAAGTACAGAGAGATTAGAAGAGCTAGTATATCATATTGGTTAAGAAACAGAAGGACAATGAACCCCAAATATGTTCCTAGATGCTGTCTCAAGAGAAACACTCCAACTCAACAGACAACTTTGAGCGAAATGATCAAAATACAGAGGTTTAGCAATACGGTTTTATTGCTGATATGAATGCCACTACATGTAGCATAAACTCCACTACTGTGAGAATAATCATATTGCTCAGAGTACTAAAATCACTCAGGTAGTGGGCATTTCTCACAGTCTTAAATCCTTTACATGTTCCAACAAAAAGCAACTGAGATCACTGTCAAGAAGAACATTCCTTCTTTATGCCACTTCTCCCGCATATTTTAGTTAGGAATCAGCTTTGCAGAAAGAGCTACCAGAAGAAATATTGCATGGACATTATTTTTAGAAGTCTCAGTAAATTTTTTCTTTTTAAGCCTCAGTAAATTCCACCGCACATTATCACATTACAGTTGATGTGGACTTTAGTTTACTGCTTCAGAAAGTAACAGACTTCCAGTTTGCATTTCCATATATATGAAGCTTGGGAGATGTCACTCCACCTGAAAAATAAAGAAGAGATGCAGAGAATGGAAACCAACTCTTCTTGATCTGTGAGAGAGATGACGATCCACAGCCAACTGCCGTCCACAAGGCTGCAGAGCCGGACAGGTGCTAGGAAGAAGTCCCTGCAGAGATTCCAAAAAGATTCAGTTGGAAACTACTGAAGGAACTGCAGCAGGAATTTACAGAAACCTGAAGTACGATTGCAAAATTGACTGAGACTCAGTGCGGACAAGTCTGAGAATTAAGACACTCAGGGGGAACCAAGTCACAGATGGGACCCCAACATTTTGTAAATTTTCATTCCAGAAGCTCACAAATAGCAGACAAAAGTCAGTTCGTCTTTTAAAGGAGAGGCAAAGGAAAAAGAAAACACTTTAAGTAACTCAAGGGTACTATTTCTTTTGTTTATTCATGCATTTATATATGTATGTACATATGTATGAGGTAGCGAGATATGCAGAGAGCACTTCCATCCACTAGTTTATTGTCATTATTATTCTTTTTCAAAAAAAATTATTTATTTCATGATACAGTTTCAAGGGCTCAGGGATTTCCCCTGCCTTAATTCCCCTGTTCCCACTGATTTCCACCTACATTATAATAGTATAATCCTTCAAAAACAGTCATAAGTCCATCATTCTATTTAAGTGTATCCTGACATTATAGGTATAGACAATTACAGAAAAGTTCAGCATCCTATTGTCAAGATCTATTTAACAGTTTCATTGGGAGTTCTTTGATTTGGACGTACAGCTGCACACTGTGTCTTCACATCTTGACATGACAGTCTCTTTTATACAGTTACTCTAGATGACTATACATGTATGTTTGCCTATGGATCTACTGATCTTGTATTTTGCATGAAAGTTGCCTTATATCAGGGAGAACACACAATATTTCTCTTTTGGGGATTGGCTTATTTCACTGTGCACAAGGGTTTCTAATTGAGACCAGATTTCATTTCCTTTGGATATATTCCCAGAAGTGGGACAGCTGGGTCATACAGCAGGTCAATTTTCAGTTCTCTTAGCACTATCTATATTGATTTTCAATGTGGCTATATAGCCTATACATCCCATCAATAGCAAAGGAGGGTACCTTTCTCCCTACATCCATGCCAACAGGGGTTGTTAGAAGAATTCTGAATGTAGGCCAGTTGAGTTAGGTTTTCATTTGTATTTCATTTGTATTTCTCTGACAACTAGGAAGCCTGATCATCCTATCATATGTCTATTAGCCATATGAATTTGTTCTTTTGAAAATGTCTGTTCCTTTCCTTTGCCCATTTCTTCACAGGATTGTTTCACTCTCATTGATTTTCTGAAGCCTTGGGATCCTGCATCCACGTGGACTACTTGGAGGAAATTCTCGGCTCCTGACTTCAGACCAGCGCAGCTCTAGCCGTTGTGGTCACTTGGGGAGTAAATCATCAGATGGAAGACCTTCCTCTCTGTCTATCCTCCTCTCTGTATACCTGACTTTCCAATAAAAATTTTTAAAACGCTGAGGAAATACTCTCTGAGAGCACAGACTGAGTGTGGCTAAGAGGCTTGTGCTCAGAATTTCCAGAACTGCAGGGTGCAGTCTGCTGTGGTCCTGGTGACTTGCAGGAGCAGCAGGGCTGTTTCTATCCCTTAAGTCAGAATGGAAGTAGACAGAAGCTCTACTACAACAGATGGGCATCTGGTACTCTGCAGGGAGGGAGGGCAATAGGACTTCCATTTCTGGAAAAAAGAAGTTGCTCAGTCAGTTCTGTAGGTTGCATTTGAAGTTAGCGAGGGCCATGGAATTCTCTTGGAGTTAGGGCTGCTGATCCATGGTATGCTGGCCCTGGGCTGTGGTGCTGCATTCTCTTTCCTATATCCTTCCCACTAGGAAGCCAGTGGCATAGAAGCTGTGTGTTTTGTTTTTTTCTCAGTACTGGTTTATGAAGTCTGTGCTGTTTTGTGATTTCCTTTTTGAAAAGTTCCCTCTATCAGTGCCCTGGCAATTCAGTCCTTCCTTTGTTGTTCGGTGTTTTTCTGCAGCACAGGTGAGTGCAGCAAGTCATGCTGCGTGGGCATCGAGGGAGTTACTTAATATATGGAAGATCAGTTTTCCTCTTCTTTCTGCCCTCAACACCATCACTCATCCTTGAAAATAAACAAATCTTAAAAAGACAACTAAGACTAGAAAGACTACCAAGGAAAATTACTAATTAAAAGTGTCAGCCACACACTCATCAATTCTTCTGTTTCATCAAGCATTACTACAACCTCGAACTTTCACTTATTTTTAATTCTATAAATCTTATGAAGACATTTGTAAGCCATATGTTACATGTCACATGCAACAGCTACTTTCCATCTAGAATACACATTTTTCAAAAATATTAACTGGATTACTAATCATACACATGCTAATGGAATATCTTAGTTTTGTTTCCCTTATGTTTTTAAGTGCAATGAAATGTATCATGGAGGCTATACAGAGAAACATGAAAATCATAATAACCACATTGTTTTCACATAAACAAACACCTATGGGCTCGAATGAGAAGAGACATTCTGGGGAGCAATGGTTGTTCCAAATCCACCTCACCTCACTCTTATATTATCACTGGCTAATAAAATTACACAGATCAGTGTGCATACAGGATGCTAGTGCCACAGGCAAAGGAACAGCCTGTTATACCACTGTACCAGTCCAAATATTTATTTTCTTAATTACACTGTTAACCTGATAAGCGATCTAAAGATAGGTGATCCCAAAGTATATCATCTCTGCTGTCAACATGTACTAGTAATATGGATGCCTGTTTTCTATGCTGTTAAGATATTCATTTTCCAAATCAACATCTCAAATGATAAGTGATTAGGTATAATCTAAGTCACACAGATTTCCCCTAGCCATAACATGAACTGTAACCTCAAGTTGTTTCTTTTTTTTCATATGTCCTAAGAAACAGGCTTAACTCCCTCAAATGCAAACCAAACTTTTACCTACTTCAAAATACTCAACTTTTTAATTTGCTATTTAGGTATTACAAAGATCTCTCTTTAATATGTTTTCTAGATTCTTCTCTCCATCTTTTTCTTACCTATACCCTCTATCTTTCCTTAACTAATACCTGACTCTTCTTCCCTACTTCCCTCCCCTGGGCTCTCTCTCACACACAGTCTTTTACTCAATTACAGTGTAATCTCGGAAATATTTCACCACCATTGTCCACAGTTCCACTTAGTAACAATATTCCCTCAACACAAACAACATTTCTCATGAAGTCCATCATCTTGTCCCTCAAGAGGAAATACTCATTGTTGTCTCAAAATTACATTTTACACAGTATATGCTTTACACTCTACCATATCCATTATTAGCCCCCTTTCAGAATAAAAAGGATAAAAAGGAATTGACAAAAGGAAGTTTACAAGTTTTTTCTTCACGCTGGTAAATCCAGAAAGAAGAAAGTAGATTGCATTACCAGAAAAGCTTTCCTGCCAAATGCACAGCCCTATTACGAAACTGTCTGTCCACTTCACTTATGCCCTCTTATTTCTAGGAACAGTACATGAGCCTAAACATACACGGGGCTCAGTGCAACTGTGTGGAACTGGGGAATGTTTCTTACCCCTGACTGTAGAAACCATTTGCCTGCATTCAGAGTTGACAGGAATGTCCAATTGAAGAGGGAAGGATGTTGCAACGCTGCTTCTGGCAGGACTTCTCTGATATTAGTTGTTCTTCTCAAGTCATAGTCATGCATGAGGAAAGGCACATGATCTATACTGCAGGCAGAGGCAGAAAAGAGGGGCAGGCGTAGATAGGCTGAACTTAGCCATCTTGACAGACAGGATTCCCAGAAAGCCCTTCAAAGTTACAAGTCCTACAAAGGTTCCTTATTCTCTAAAATCTCAGCAAAGGACTAAGGATAAGTCATGTGCAAATTGTTGCATTTGTCTGTCCTTGGGATCAATATTTTATGACATTAACGATGGTGGAAAAAAAGGCTTTTACTTTATTTGGGAGTTTTTTGACATAAGGGAAAGAGTGGTTTTGGCAGTGGTCTGAAAATAAGCAAAATGAGGCTGAAGATAAGGCAGAGTCCTAGTTCCAGGAAGTACAGTATATAGGCTTTTACATCACTCACATAACCTACCTTCTTCTGACCCTCTTCCCAACGAGGCACCTGCCCCGAACATTTCTGGTCCTAGACCCTCACATCATTAGATAAGTTCCTGGTCCTGCTATTTGCATCAGAGAATCTCCTTCATAAAACTCTCTATGTCATTTCCATTAAAATATCTATGAAGAGAATAACTACAATGGTCATGAAGGAGAAGAGTAATGAGTTACTTTCCTACCATAAACACAGGGCAAAATAAAGGAAATAGATCTGTTTTCCATCAACTGACAACAGAGAGCACAAAATGATCACTGAGACAAAGGAAACAAAATAAAATACATCATTACATAGGCTGTAGGTGGCCCTTCCTGCAGGTAAATACCAGGATTGCAGTGCAGACACAGGGAGAGGAAGCCTAAAAGGGACCCAGCTATTTCAGAAAAGAAGAGAAAAAAATTAAAGTGGAAGTCAAGATAGAATTTGAGGATGAAACTACATTTTTTTTTAAGTTCCAAGGAAATAGGCATTAAAGTCCCTTGAATATATAACTAAACATTCATTCCTAATTTGCCTTTTGTCTCATAAATTTTCTATTCAAGATATTTCACATGACTTGAGTCATACATTATTTACCATTTTGTGGTTGATTTATTTCAAGAATCATCCATATTCTAACAGCCATGCTGCAGAAGACTTGATTCATATTTTTGGCTTAATAATAATCCATAGTATGTATATAGCACAAGGTGTTAATCCAGTCATCTAGTGTCAGACACCTGTTTCCACCTTTTAGCCATCGTTACTGTGCTGCAATGAACATAGACTCACTGATCCATTTTGGTTTACATTTTATATACAATATTGGGTCAAGGTTATTTAACTGCTTTTAATTTTCTTCCAAAAATCATTTGGCATAAAAAACTGAAAAAATAAAACATTTAATGGGAAAATAATAGAGTTCTTCTTTAACTCATGGATTACTTAAAGATGGGTCTAGATATCTTTCTGTTAACCTTGATACTAATTTCTAATTTGATTCCACTCTGAACATAGGATTCCTCTGTATGATTTAAATTCTTTCAAATCTTTTGAGGTTTCTTTATGTCCAGAAAAAGTCTATGTTGTTATATATTCTGTGAACACTTGAAAAGACTTGTTTTTTTTTCTGCTGTTCATTGGTTGAGTATTGTATAAAAGTCATTTAGATACTGTTGGTTAATGTTGGTCAGGTTTTCTCTAATTTTGATGGTTTTCTTTTAATAGTTGATGCTGTTTAATTCTATTTTTTATTTCTACTAATGATTACATCAGTTATTAAGATAACGATGTTGTTTTCTTATATAAAATTTAAAAACATAAATATGTGAGGCTGCCATTGTGGTGCAGCAGGATAGAAAAGCCACCACTTGTGAAATTAGCATCCTATATCTGGGACATTCACTACTGCTTGCCCAGGCCATTAGCAGGGAGCTGGTCAGAAGTCCAGAAGCCAAGATAGGAACCAATGCCTATAACGGAATGCCAGTGCCACAGGTGTGTGATTAGCATGCTATGCTTACATGCTAGTCCCCAGAAATGTTTTTGAGACTCCACTTTCAGTTCTTTTGGATATTTAACCAGAATTGAAACTGCTGAGTAATAAAGTGATATTTTGTTTAATTATTTGAGGAATGGCTATGGTAGACCAGGGAAATTTTAAAATCTATATGTATAGTCCAAGGCACACTTTTAAATCACATATAAACACTGAGCAATGTACAGTGGAATACTCTAACATTGCCTTGGAAAATAGCCCAGGTTGTGTATAGGTTTCCGGGGAGCACACAAGTGGGAAAGGCCAAAGTGGTACTGTAGAATCACAGAAAACAAAACTGGTGCCTGAACCTGGGCCCACAAATGTTGATCAAGCCATATTCTGAATCTAAGCTTGTTGATTCTGCCAGAAATAAACAAGAACCATAATTTTTTGTTATTGAAATGTTCAAGACACAATACAAAATCTATCAAAATCTCCACTTGAATGAAAAAAGATAACAGATCGGTGTCAACATCAAGAGAAATAGGTGTTGGAATCATGAGTAAATGATTTAAAATTAGCTCTAGAAAATAGTTATGAAATAAGTAAAAAGTAGAAAACCTTATCAAATAAAGAACTAAATGGAAAGTTTTTCAGACAAAAGTAAATGGTTACAAAAGCAAACTTTGTGCATCAAGAATAAAGAAAAAGCAATGCAGAGGATAAAATTTAAATAGTTCTCTTGAGATCGTAAAAGTTGTTTGAGGCAAAAAGCACACACTGTCTGAAGCATGTCTCAATTTTGAAATAAGAGAAAGGACTCAACTTGTTTGAGCTTCATTCAATTTGAAATGGTACGATGTTCAGTGTTAGATGGGATAAGTTTGTGTACATGTTTGTGTATTTCTGGACTTAAAAATGGAGAAATGTAACTAAAGTTACTCATTTTCAATAAATTTTGACCCCTCATATATATTTTGTAATCTCTAGAGCAATTAAAGCCAAAAGTTACACAAAGAGATACACTAAATATATACAGAGAGAGATTCTTAAAAGTTCACACAACTAACGAGAGGGTTGGAAGTAGGAAGCAGAGTAACATCAAAAGGAATAAAAATAAAATTAGTATTAGAATGGCAGATTTAAAGCATAACTTATCAACAAATATATTTCAACATAGAAGATCTAATGATACCAATTAAGACAGAAACTGGTAGAAATAATTTTAATACCATGAGCCATCTACATGCTGTCTGTAAGAAATTTGTCTTAAATATAGGTATAGGTAAATTAAAAGAATGCAAAAAAAATGTACTTTGCAAATTCCAATCAAAGAAAGCTTAGAATGTCTATATTTACATTAGATAAACAAAGAAAATTAGGCATTACATAAATTTTAGTTTTTAAACTGATAAAGGTGTACTTTAAAATTAATTTATTTGAGAAGCACAGCAACAGAGGGAGATCTTCCATCCACTAGTTAACTGCCCAAATTGCCACAACAATGACATATGGTCCAGGTCAAGCCAGGAACTACATCCTGGTCTTTCACATGATTGGCAATGTGTGGGAGTCTGGAGTATAAATGTGACAATGAATTGAATCATGCTCATACAGAAAGTAAATGCAATAGCAAAGGTTCTCTTATAAAAAAAGAAAGTATATTTTTTAGGAGAACAGAAGTGAGCCAAGAATCAGTTGAGATTGAAGCTGAGACTACAGGTCCTGAAGATAACCAGGTCTTTGGTTTTTAGGAGTTGGTCTTGGATGGAAGGCCTTACTGTGGTTTTGAAGTCACCTGGTCTGTAGATCATCTGGCCATATCATATCTATGTTAAACTTCTGAGTGAAGTTTTTTAAGCTTATAATTTGGAAAGAAACCTGGAATGTATTTTTCTCATTTCCCATAGTTAACCCTAAGTCGTCTCCTGTCTCAGCCGGCACCCAAGCAATTGAACCACAGCATCTACCTTGGTGAGAATAAGAAATTCTCTTCAAACAACAGTTCTTGGGAAGTTGGAAATCCACAGGCAAAACAAAGTTGGACCCTTATCTAACAAAATACATAAGTCAATTTGAAATGTACCAAAAGTCCCTGAAAGAAAATAGAGGGTAAAGTTTCATGACAACGACAATGATTTCAGATATGTCAACAAAAGCAAATAGTAGATAGATGGGACTAATTCAAACTTAAGAGTAGTTAAGGAGTCGATTACATAAGGAGCTGAGTACATAAGGAAGGATTATGTACACCGAGCTTGAAGTCACCAAAATAACAGAAAAAGACAAGTACAGAAGCACATGCCTGGAGGACCATGGCTCACTTTATGCCCATGACCACCAGGCCCTTCCATGAACAGATCTCCTAGAAGTTCTACTACAACAATCAGTTTCAATTCCTATTCAAAATACTCTGTTTATCACTGTTTGATATTTTCCAAAATCCTAGTCTTAGATTTAGGAAACACAGTCCTAACCCTGACTTTATCTTCTACATTTTAACCTTCTAGTTTAATTTGTTTCGCCTCTTTGAACTCAGATTCAAACCAGACACCTCTATGACACAGAATGCCCACTTTTCACTTACACTAACACACCCATCACAGAGATGAAGCCTTTCTACCTCCTCAGCCACACACTGACAAATATGCCATAATTACGTCTTTTGGTGCCTGTCTTTGCTCTTTTCAGGTTGCTATCCTTCTGTGATCATTTTTCATCATGGGTTGCCATATTTCAAAAAAATTACGCTATTAGTCCTCTAAAACCTACCATGACTACTTGCTCATGAAACAATTCAGTATCTCCACAGTTTGGCTTCAGTCTTACAACCATGACTCTTCCTCATATAGCTGTCCCCTGTCCTTGAAGTGCTTTACTTTTGGAATTTAAAATATATAACTTCTTTTTACAAATTTATATTTCTTATTTCTCATTTAGACACAAATGAACAGGTTAGTGAATAAGCTCTGGTCTTTGTATGGAATGCTCTCTTTCCCTCACCTATGACTGGTAAGATATTTTCTTTCAAGGTTCAATCCAAAAGCAATTTGAAACAGAAAAATATATTTTCTTCTTTTCAAGTATTAGGGAGTGGCTTTTATTACTCTGAGGTTATTGCACCTGACTAATTCTTGTTCTGCCATTATTTATAACCACATTGCCTCCTTCACTACTGGAAACATCTCTTAGGCATGACTATTTCCTACTTATTTGCATTTCCACAGGACTCAGGAGGAGGACAGGAAAATATTAGGTGCCAAGCATACGTTAGCTAACTATTAAGGTAGAATAAAGGGCTTAGTTGCAAGCATGGGACAAATTTGAATTATGTGTGCAGACTGTACAGACTGTGTTTTGAGAGTCTGTGACTGAGATTACTGAGTGTTGTAAGAGAGATGTGGCCATGTGAGTGAAACATACACACACAGGCAGAAATCTTCAGGGCCTGCCCTCTCCATTACCTCCTCCACGGAACTTATCCTCTCCTGCCCCTCCACCTCAATTCTTGCTTTCCTACCTTATATGTACATCAGTCTCCAGCCCATAAGCCCCAAATTCAACAGCTTTCTCAAAGGCCATCATGGTATTCTCTGGTCCATGCTGTGGAAGAAAAGTGTATCAGCCTTTTGTCTCACAGTCTTTCTTCCCTATATACCTTTGATAGTAAGGACAGAGCCAAGTAATAAAAGGGCTCCCTTAGTTCGTTCCATGTAGCTTGTCTGTATTCCTCCCTGTTCAACTGAATTCTGGGACTTTTCATTTGTAGCAATGTCACTGAACTTAGTAAACAGACATGTTCTGGCAGTTAGGTGGCTTGGATCTAGGTTCACCCTCTACAATTAACTTGCTTTCCTTTAAAATCAATTATTTTATTCTCTTCCAGGGGCTTGTATGTTGCTAAGGTTTCCTTTTCTCATTCATATTCCACACATGCCTGTACTCATATATGTTTATCATGTTCAGACCTACCATGGGTGCTCCTCTATGTGCAAAGAAGACTGGTTTTGGTGCCAAATCCTCTTTTTTCTGAATGCAGGGAGAATAAATCCCCAGGGGCATCAAATAAAGACATATGAGGATAAGAAGAAAAGGCAATCCAGTAGCCAATTGTAGAGCTGAAAAGGTTAGAAGGTTGAGGAAGTTGGGAGGAAAAGAAAAATACGGAATCATTCCAGGCAACTAATTATTCTAAACAAATAATCAAAATAAATCCCAGTCCATGGATTTTACCAACTCTGTGGACTAGTAAGTTTACTTTCTCTTATGGTCATATTCCACTTAGGCTACGGGGTTCGAATATAAAAGCACTGTCCAAATAAAAAAGCATTATTATGGCAAGATTTTTGACACTAGAGCTTACAAAGATGTCCCCAGCCCATTCCTCATACTGCCACATGCAAAGTATATCCATTATCTTGATATTATTGATCAGTTTGCAACATTTAGATCTCTGAGGATTTTACATTTTTGTACATTTCAAAGCTATCATTTATGCTTCAGTGACTTTCAAATCTAGTTCTCCAACTCTAACCTCTTAACCTTGTGAATATGTTACATTTCTTGAGTCTTTCTTTGTCATTATATGCCATCTTGTATCTTCTTACTCTAACTGAAATTGACAAAGTAAAAAAGAGGTTATTATTGTCCCCTACAAGTTCTTGACCCAGAAATACATTCTAAAATGTACTCCCCCACACAAACACAAGGGCACCACTATTCACCCAGCATTGACTTTGCCTACAGTCTCCCATTAATTACACAAATACTATTATAACCAAAAGTGAAAAACATGGGAGACCTACAGAGAAACAGTTCTTATTGGTTTGTCAGTAAAGCTAGTGACCAGTAACTCTGTTCTCACAGTGACTTAATGTACTGCTCTGAATCACTTTTGCTTCCTTTTACTAAGACAAAGAATAGAAAGGAAACCAGTGGCAGATATTTCTGCTTCTGCAGTAAGTCTCTAGGGACCCACAGGAGCCTGCTTTGAGCTAGTTAGATCTAATAAAAAATGTCTGGACCTAGTATCAGCTGAAACTAGTAATTTTTTCATTTTTTCCTACTTATTTTTTTAAATTTATGATACAAATCCATAGGTTCTCAGATTTCCCTTGCCTTCTCCCAAAACTTCCCCCTGCACACTGATTTCCCCTCTATTATTACAACAATATAGTCCTCCATAAGCAGTACTAAGTCCACCATTCTGCAACCTAAGTGTATCCTGACATTGCAGGTACGAACAATGGCAGAGTCCAGCATCCTATTGTTAAGATATATTTAACAGTTTCACTGGGTGTCCATCTTTGATTTGGAAGCAGAGATGCATCCTTGTGTCTTCACATCTGGATATGATAGTCTCTATTACACAGTTACTACACCTTCCCTTAAATGAAAAAGCCATAAAACCAGTAATATTGAATGGGAACTGAAAGTGTTATATTAGTACACTAGTAAAATAAAATCAAAAGGCCTCTACTGGACTCAGCCTTGTGGCACAGCAAGAAAAGCCACTGCCTGCAACACCAGCATCTTATTATACAGCAGCTCATTCACACTCCAGCAGTTCCATTTCCAGCCTAGCTTTCTGCTAGTGTCCTGAGAAAAGTAGGCCCTACCAGCTATTGGGAAGACCTGAAAGAAGCTCCTGGCTTCTGCCTTTGTAGCCTCAGCCACTGTGTCCATCTGGAGGATGAACCAGGGGACAGAAGATCTCTGTTTCTCCCTCTATAACCCTCTGTAGCTCTGATTTTCAAATAAACAAATCTTTAAGAGAAAAAAGGCCTCTACTGCCCCCTATCAATCCCTAGCTAGAAAAATATGTAATAGCAGAAAAGTCTTACTTTCCAGGAGAATCCCTCTTAGGAGAGGCCTGTTTAGTTACGGAAGTGCTATGACAGGCTATATGGGATGGCAGAGAACAGAGCATGCCTGAGTAACAAGTAAAAAGAATTTCAAAGGACAGGAGGATTACTAAGCTTCTTTTTTCTTTGAGGGAATATGCAATATAAAGACAGAGCTGAAAAGACAAAGTTGCACCCACACGACATACCTTCTCTTTCCAAACGGGAAATATAGCAGGTCAAAGGCCAGGAAAGCAGCACCATCACAGTTATGCTGCCCAGGTGTATGTAGGGAGAAAAGATCTGAGAGAAAACCAAAAGTCAGGTTAGACACATCTGGACAGATAGCGTCAAGTGCTATAGGAGGATGTTTACCTGCAGTGACAGCCCAAACGTCAGCCATTTATCATTCCAATACACAAACAACATAAACATAAAAAAGATGTGGAACAAAACCACCAGCACAATCAGGACCTGTAAAACAGAAAAGATCTTCTAACTTCCAGGCACTCATTTTGGGGCAGAACCATCCTCTGGAATTGCACATGTGTCTTTATAATATCAGGGATCTCATTTTAATATTTTAATCTACTCAGTTGTGCAAACATCCACTAGCATATGGACAGAATTATTTCTCTTCTTTGCCTCAAAGTCTTTTTTTACAGCATGGCTGGAGAAAATTATCCAGCTGTGTGTTCCAACGCCATTACCAGTATATGATCTCTAGGTACAGCTGAGCCCTACCATGGCTTGAGATCTTTCATATGAATTCAACAACACAATCGAGAAATCCTCATCACTTCTTTTTACTTCAATTATATACATAAAATATTATTCACCTAGAAATTATAAAAACTACATTTTTGACATAGGTTTTCCCCCAACAGATTTTAAACTTCACAAGTCAAGAATCATCATATTAAGATTATATCATCACTGCCTTGCACAATGACTGGCACACAGTAAGTACTGAATAACAAAAGAGCAATACTGTCTATCACAAGTATAAAGAACATTGAGACCAATATGGCATGCCTTTCTTCCTCTCCTTCAAATATATTTTTTTCTACATCTGTGCTGCTCTATACAAAGTTCATTCCTTTGATGAGTTTCTATATGTAAAATAACTGAATCCACAAATAATCCTCTCACAATTTAACTCTGCTACCATCAATGATAAATTCTGCCAAGTATTTAAGGAAGAGATATCTCTAAGCTCTCATAAACTCCCAGGGAGCAGGAAGAGAGAGAATATTTTCTAACTTACCTTATAAATGTTGCTACCCAAATCTAACAAGGACATGAGGAGAAGAGTGAACCACAGATCAGTCTATTGTATGTCAATGATGGGTGAAAAAAAAATCTTAAAATAACTGTAAGTAAACTAAATGCATCATAACACAAAGATAGACTTGTTAACTTAACTTATTTTAATCACACATCCTATTCAACACCAGACTGTGAATGACTTAATGGCTATCAAGAGAATAAAATGGCCCTCTGGAGAAATCTGACTATGTCACATGCAGCAACTCAAGAAGGGTCTTTGTTCTTCTGTATTACATCATCCAACCTGCTTTGGTACTTGAAATGTGAGGTGTGCTCTAAGCAAAATGTAACAACACTGCTTCCTGAAAATAGCCATTTGGTTTCCAATTGTTCCTAATTGGATTCTAAGCTTGGACTAGGCCCAACACAAGAGAGGAAATTGAAACTTAGTTTATTACAATCAACTGATAGAATGTGTCTGCGACTAAAAAGAAGTAGCAATGTAAGGTATTTGTCTAAGATGCAAATAGGATGGAAAAAATGGCCTCTGAGAGTAGTGAGAAAGGATAAACTTTGGGCTCAAGCTTGGGTTCATTTCCTTCAGCATGTCAGTTATAAGTGTTAAGTGTGATTGATTCAGTTACAATTATTTAAGTAGGTATCTTCTCTCTGGAGGAACCCTGGAAGAAAAAGTGACTCTGGGTGTCAAACTGAGTGCCAAGGAAAATAACCTATGGCTGCAGATGTCCTACCTTATGACACTTGTGCAGGTAGAGTTCAATTCTTTCCCGAAGCAACAAAACCCCAACTATCTGCAAGAGGAAAGAAGAAAAAGGAGGTTGTTTTGAAATCACCAAGCTGCTGCCCAAATCACTATTCTGTAGCAGTAAGCCACTACATTCACTTTTCAGCCTCTGGGAGTTCACCATGCTGTTCTTCCACCTTGCTAACCCTTCAGAGCCACTTTAAACATGACCTCCTGTTAGGAACTCCCACCAGCACCCCAGGAACATTATGAGATTTCATAATAATTCAGTTCCTGTCTACCTCATTCCCCCAGGATGGACTTTACACTTGCTTTTACTTGGAGTTTTAGACAACAGAGGTCACGGGATATCCTTCCCAAGTCACTGAAAAGCTTTTCCTTGAGAATCCAACGTTGATGCTGCAATTGCTGTCAACACTGGTAAATATTCAATCTCTGAGATCCACATCTGAATCCCACTGGTAAATATTCAGTCTATGTGAGATCTGCAGCTGAATCCCATTGGTAAATATTCACCTGAGATCTGAATCTAAATCTAGCCAGTCACTGAGTCAACCTGGGGCTGGAAACTGATAACAGGAGTTCTCAAATAACAATATTTATGACATGTGCACTGGTGTTTCTAACAAAATTATTCCACTTGTTCTTTGTTCATTCTGATAAAATATCATTTTATTAAATATTAGCATTCTAATGTGAAAAAGGGAGAAGCTAAATCACCTAAGTATAACAGCTGTAAACACACATTCCCCCCCCCTTTTTTTTACTTTTATTGCCATTGTATGAATCCAAAAGAGGTAAAGCAGAAAATATAAAATATATTGCTAAATATGCTGTTTTATTGGACAGCAGCACTTGTCTCCTCCTTAGCAGCTAACTATATCATTTCAGGCTTAATGTGAAAGAAAGTATTAGTATTTAGTGGCCAGATTTTGGCCCAAAACACATATGTCATTTCCATAGTTTCAACTAAAGGGAAGCTTCCAAATGGTCTGTCTATAGCATTCTCTGTTTCCAACTTTCAAAATGATTCTCTAAAATAGAAACTTTATGCCAAATGTTTTATCTTTATTTTCTGGCCTTTTGACATGTTACAAACCTAGCTCCTCAGCCATGGTTCCCTATCATTCTTCATTATACCTTACACCACACTAGAACTGACCCTTCCTTCTTCACAGCATATTCCATTATTCCATATTGTTCCCTCAACTCAGTAGGGTCTCTGACACTCCCAAATACGTATCTAGTGTCCCTCCATCCCAAAAAGCTTCCTATCTCACACTAGTTCTGTGAAGCATCCTGCTTAAAAATAGAAGCTGATGGGCCCACAGCGGCACCCTAATGGCAAAGTTCTTGCCTTGAACGTGCCAGGATCCCATATGGCCACCGGTTCGTGTCCCAGCAGTTTTCACTTCCCATCCAATTCCCTGTCTGTAGTTTGGGAAAGCAGTCAAGGAAGGCCCAAGGCCTTGGGACCCTGCAGCAGCGTGAGAGACCCTGAAGAAGCTCCTGGCTCCTGGCTTCAGATCAGCTCAGCTCCAGCATTGCTGCCACTTGGGGAGTGAATCAGCAGACGGAAGGTCTTCCTCTCTGTCTCTCCTCTTCTCTATATATCTGACTTTCCAATTAAAAAATAAATCTTTAAAAAAAAATGAAACTGCCTGTGTTACTGATTTCTGTATAACTGGAACTTCAAGACAATGTTATCTTTACATGATAATTAATCCATTCTGTTGAAAAAAAAAAGCAATGCCATCAGATTTGGAGAACAAGTTGTCCTGTATCATCAGACTGGTTGGTTATCAGCAGGGAAAGGGAATTGTAAAATCACAGAAATAGCCCTTTTCCTACATATGAGTAAAAGTGGAAGCAAAAAACTAACCCAATAGTGTCCACCTAACAACCTTGAATTTTCTGCAGACTTTTTTTGCTTGACAAAGTCAGACAACAGAATAAGGATTGTACTATTGACTAAAGACTTCTGCCAAAATGTCATTTATATCTGAGCTAGGTTACTAGCATTTCCAAAATTCAACAAATTTAACAAATTTATAAATTCCCACAAAGACTGGTGATTTGAAGCCATGGGTGTCTAAAATAACAATTCTTTTTTTATATAATGTACTTTATTTGATCCAATAAATCCAAATTATTATTATTATTATTACTATTATATGTCATCAATTCATATTATGGACATTTTCTTTTTTTCTAAATCTTGGAAATCTCCTGCATATATTATACTTAGAGCACACCCCAATTTGGATAGGCTACATTTCAAAGGCTTAGTCGCATCCAGAAATGCTGCATTGCACAGTTCAGGCTTAGTGTCTATACTACATTTTCTGACTCCCAAATGTATAATTTCTTATTTTGCTATCTTTTAATTTATTTATGTGATGTGGACAAATTTCACAAAAATTACACTACAGATGTAGGAGCTTACTCTTATTTCCCACTCTACCTACACCCTCCTCCTTCCTTAACAGGCTTACCACTCCATCAATACCAGTCAGGTAGAAAATAATAACACAAATAACAAAAAGTCAAAACAAAACAGAAAAAACCTACTATTCCTTGGGTGCATAAAAAAAGACTGTAACAATGGTCAAATCCCAGAATATCACTCCAGCATCTATAGATTACATGTTGGTACTCTATGTATTAGCCAGCACAGATTAAGGAAAACATATATTTGTATTTTTCAGACTGGCTTATTTCACTAAGCATAATGGTTTCCAGTTGCACCTATTTAGTTGCAAAAGACAATGTTCATTCTTTTTATGGTAAAATGAAATTCTGAATGAATGCTCAAAGAGGCTATAAAACAAGAATGGAGAAAGGATGTGCTGCCACCCTTTCAGTGGGCCAAACTGGTAAGACACACGCTCTAAGTGCTAGCCCACAGTCTCAGGTCCTTATGACTAACCAAGTAGCTGATATAAACCCCAACTCCACTTAGATATGAGTGCTATTTAGGTTTTTAAGTCTCCTAACCCCAATTGGATACCATTTCCCAAGCAAGACTAATGGGAAGCGTTACTCACCAAAAGTAATGTAGTATAGGCAGTCAGGGTCCCAAGTATGCTCAGAAAAATTATGGAACCAAAGACCCAGAATCCTGTTCCCAGAAAAAGGACCCTGAAAAAAATGTATTCCAATCTTTAAAATAGAGCAGAAGCCAGCAGACTCTCCATCTATGATAGGGACAAGAATGCTGAGGTATAAGAACATGGAGGGCAATAAGAAGAGAATCATCTGAAGAATGAACCACTAAATGGAAGATCTCTGTCTCTCCCTGTCTCTCTGTAACTCTTTCAAAATGAATCAATCTTTTCAAAAAAATAAAAAGCTAAATATGTAGATTAATATAAATAAATACTAATTATAAAAAACTAATGTGATTTATGGTTGAAAATATATGTAGGATTATGTTATTCTGTAATGGGGTGGGAGAGCGGAGAAATCTTCTATCACCCTAGAAGGTGTGAGGAAGACGTGAAATATTAGTTACTCCTCACTAGGGCATTGAGGATTTCTCTGCACACCCCTCCTAAAACTGTTCTGCAACTAAACTGTTGACATATGTCTTGTTGGAGTTATAAGCCAATCTAGACTACCCGAAAAAATAGCCAGGTTTAGCAAAATTATGCTTCAATGCTATAAAAGGCTAAATATTATAATGAAAATAGACACAAGACAGCTGAACAGTAATCTATAGCTATTTTAAGATGTATAGAACCTGTTATATATAAACTAAAATTGAAATGTCAATGAAGTAGACACAAAATGTGGTTAAGAATTTGCATTTATTTTTAACATATTGGTTACTCAATACTATGTCAATTAACTCCATAATGTTATAAATTGCTACTGATGTCACATTGGAGCTTTTAATTGATCGTGATGATACTCTGCTGGCTCTACCTTCAGACCAGAGAAGGTCTCCCAAAGAAGCCATTGAATTTATCTGGACAATAAGATGCTGGACTCTATACTTGGTATATGCTTGCAATGAAAGAATCTCAACTGAACCTGCAATGTGGTTATGCAACAAGGTGGAGGAATCCACCATGGGGAGAGGGTTGGGGAGGGGTGGGGAGAATCCCAGTGCCTATAAAACTGTGTCACATAATGCAATGTGCAAATAATTAAATAAATATATTTTAAAAGAAAATATATGTAGGATTAAAATATATGATGATAATGATACATAACAGAGATAAAGGTGTTTCAAGATCCTTATCAAAAAAAGGGCAAAAAGCTAATTAGTTAATTAAAATTTGATGAATAAAGATTATATATTGTAATTTTGAGAACAAACAGAAAAAGCGAGTGTGGCAGGACAGAAAATATGGGTAATCTTAGGCTGGTGTTGTGGTATTATCAGGTTAAGCCGCCATATCAAGAGTGCCAGTTTGAGCCCCAGCTACTGTTTCCCATCCAGCTTCCTGCTCTTGTACCCCGTCATTCATGTGGGGGACCAGGGGGAAGTTCCTGAATGCCCAGAGCTGACTGTTGTAGCCATCAGGGGAGTGATTCAATGGAGTAAAATTTCTTACTATCTCAACCTTCTCTTTGTCAGCTTGCCTTTCAAAGAGATAAGTCTTTTTAAAAATTCTTAAGAGAAAAATGAATATAAAATTAATAAAACTATTACAGTATCAGGAAGATGATGAATGTACATTTAAATATACCTACAGTTACATTAGTAGAGTGATATTCCTTTATTAGGACATAATAACAAACTTACCAAGTTACATTTAAGAAACCTAACATATGCTGTTTATGAGAAGCTTCCAAAACATAAGACACAGAAATATTTAAAAAATGGAAAAAAGGAACTACACAAAACTATTCTGGAAACATTAATATCATATAAAACTACTATTTTTAAGGTAAATATCTATGAAGAAAACAAGAGATTAAGTCTGTTCAAAAATATACAATAACTGCACTAGGACTGAAGGCCTCACTTGAACTCACACGTGTCAGACTGGCTCAACTTGTGGACTGTCCAGAAGCAGAGGATCATAAGTGGATGCTATAAGGAAAACTTCAGAAGTCCCTTAGCCTACTTTGTGAAAATGCAAAAACTTGTGAGCACCATTTCTGTCATTAACTTGAAATAACAACTTCAAAAAATGACTTCTGGCTAAGTGCTCATCTGGGACATTTGTAACAGAAGAATGAACAAACTGAGCAGTGTAGAATGAGTGAGTACCAGAGGGCCCGGAGCAGTAACCTAGTGCCCAAAGCTCTCTCATTGCATGTGCCGGGTCTGGCCGCTATGGTCACTTGGGGAGTGAATCAACAGATGGAAAATCTTCCTGTCTCTCCTTCTCTCTGTATATCTGACTTTCCAATAAAAATAAATAAATCTTTTTTTTTTTAGGGCCCGGCGTGATGGCGCAGTGGTTAAAGTCCTCACTTTGCACGCCCAGGATCCCATATGGACACCAGTTCTAATCCTGGCAGCCCCACTTCCCATCCAGCTCCCTGCCTGCGGTCCAGGAAAGCAGTGGAGGACAGCCCAAGGCTTTGGGACCCTGCACCCGTGTGGGAGACCCAGAAGAGGCTCCTGGCTTCAGATCGGCATAGCATCGGCCGTTGTGCTCACTTGGGAAGTGAATCATGGGACGGAAGATCTTCCTCTCTGTCTCTCCTCTCTGTATATCTGCCTTTCCAATAAAAATAAAATAAATCTTTTTTTTAAAAATCTTATTTAAAAAAAAAAAAGAATAAAAACCAGAGATTTTTTCCAACACTGTCACACTAGTCCTACAGTGTTAATTCCTAGAATTTACAAAGGAGGAAAAAATCCAAAAAACTTGGATATAAGCTTTTTATACAAACCTCATGAAGTACATATCAAAGCGTTACTTTTTTAATTTATAAACAAATATTCCTTTATATATCAATTTGAAATACAGATGCTACGGACTGAAATATAAGTGCTATAATAACCCAGATCTAGTTCTAGTTCATACATAATAAAGATTACAAACACCCTGACAAGAAAGCTTATTGAAGACCCCCAAAGGATAAAAGTGGGCAAAGAAGAAACACAAACAAAAGATGAAAAAAAAATGTGCTAAATAAACTGGTTTGAAAGTTAATGATTCAAGGTAAAACAAAATAAAAATAAAGAAAATACAATTTTCTAGGAAAATTTTTAAAGCATTTAAAATTAGAATATTTGATGCTGCCAATGCAGATGAAAACAGAAATGGTTATAGCTTTTGTTAAGTGGAATTTGCTATAGTCTTTTTAGAAAAGACTTTGGGAATTCACACCATGACTTTGTAAATGTTCATTGTTGACTCAGTAATGCCACTTGTAGGAGTCCACTCTAAGAACCTTTGCTGAATATAAAAATTTCTCATTATTTTACAAAAACAAGAAAATTAAAAGCACTCAATGTCCAACATTTAAAAATAGCTAAGTGTGTCAATAGTATTTTCATGTAATATTTTGAAGCCATTCTAAATGATATTCTAAGGAGCTTTATTAATTTAAAATGTTTATAAATATTTTAAACAGAAGGAAAGAGCAAAAATATCTATTTTATGAGAATAACCAAAAATAAGCATAGAAAAAGGCTAGATATTATCATACCAATGATTTTTCTTTGAAATTGTGTATTTTCATTTTCTGCATATCTTTCATATTTGTAATAGCAATATATTTTCTCCTGTACTGGATAAAATAAATTATATTCCACTTTTTAAAAGTTTCAGTTACTTTGCTAATTTTGCTTTAAAGTACCTGAGAAGCAAGCAGAGAATAGCCCAAGCAGACCAGATGGGGTTCCTGGCTCCTGGCTTCAACCTGGCCAACCTCTATCTGCAGCAGCCATTTGGCAAATGAACAAGCAGACTGATTAATGTCTATTTTTCCTCTGTCATTTTGCCTTTCAAACAAACATTAAATATTAAAAAAAGCTAAGTGTCATACTTGAACATAACCTTCTCTCTCAAATTCCAAATAAAGAGGTAAGTTTACAACAAAGTTAGAAGGCATTATGCTGAGGTGAGGCTGGATGTGGCTTCTCCCCCTATCTTTCCGTTTCCCCCAGATACCGGAAGGAAAAAAGAGAATATGGAAATAATGGTCTCACCCACCTTCCTCTAGCCCTTGACCCTTCGCACCCTAATCAACTATATAAAAATCATCAAAAATAAAATTAATGGAAAAAAGAAAGAAGGCATTATGGCAGAAAGACTGAAAGGTCTGACAGCGACCAGGAACAGTTTAGCTATGAAAAAGTGCTGTGTTCAGAGTGCCAGAAAGTCCCCTAAGGACAAAAGGAGGCAACAGAAGCCTTGAAAGAAAGAGTTCACAGACAGAAATCATGAAGTTCAACTGGTGTAGGTATTAAGCAAATAGGTTTTGGGAAATCATTATCTGAGCAAGAATGGTCCATCGCCTGAGATATTGAGATATGGTGAAGTCAGAGTCTGAGCACAGGCAGAAACAAAGTTTTCAACAACATATAATGCCCCAGAGTCAGACCTCTCACCCACAAGCTATGGAAAAGAGCAATTAGTCTACTTTCCACTTGCAGTGAGGTCAAAATTCACCTAACTATCAAACCAAACAGCCCTTACTTATATAAATGAAAATGTAAAAAGAGAAACTTACCAGTCAAAGCCAAAGTATTCATTTGACATTTCAATCCACATAAACAGCAAAATCACAGATAGGATAAACGAAATGACCAGGAATACAAAAAAGACTTGCTCTTTCTGTGAAGAGAAAGAACGTAACATTAGCTCCATTTGTCCATGTTACCTCAGCAGTGTCTGCCCATCCCGTCCAAGGGCAGGCGCACACACTGCCATGCATTACCACCGCAGGCCAGAGGGACCTTTACCCTTACTGAAGCTGTACATGTCCCCTTATCAAACCACAATGGGCTACAATCAGGTATTTTCAGCTAACACTACATTGTTTTTACTTTTAGGAAAAGAAATCTTTGTGTAGTAAATCTCTATACTGACAATATCTAGTAGTTTTTGAATGTAGTTTGTCTCAGCAACCATCAGCTAGGTTCACCTAATCTCAATCTACAAAATGTATGGTGTCCCAATCATGAATTCAATAATTCACCATTCGTAACTTCAGTCATTTATCTACACACTTATTAGTGGAAAGAGGAACCAGAGTTACAGAACAAACATTTTTAGTAGCTATTTTATTCCAGTACAAATCTAAGGAGTTCAAACGTCACTTTCATTTGATTCATTTATGGTAAGAGTCATGTAACTTAGATACTGCTAATCACACTTTGCACAAATGAAAAATCAGAGAAGTAATTGCTCAAGATTACCAGAAAAGTAGTGTTAGCAAGAATAGATTCCAGAACCGTGTGGGCTCAGAGCCAAGATGGTCTCTTTAAGCATTAAGTTGAAACTTAACAGCCATCACTGAAAAGTACAAAACAGCTATGCCACAGGATGACTTGGGTTGCTATCTGAGTGATAATACTTTTTCCTTAAAGATTTTCACTGTTGAAGTATCAAAACCACTTGAGCAAGAACCTCAGAGCATACCCTACATGCAGGACATGGGGAAGGTGGGAAATTGGGTGGGCCTTCTGCCTTAATACCCCCCTTTAAACATGAAGGAAACAATATGGAAATAATAATCTTACCCACTTTCCTATAGCCCTTGAACCTTTTTACCCTAATTAACCATGTAAAGATTGTCAAAATATAATTTAAAAAATCATAATAAATGAAAAAAAAAAGATTTTCACTGTATTAGGGGAGGGTGTTAGGGGAAATCCCTGAGCCTATAAAATTGTATCATCAAAAAATAAATATTTTCACTGTTTTAATTTTTATTTGAAAGGCATAATTACAGAGAGGAGAGACAGAGACAGACAGACAAAGGGACAGAGAGAGATAATCTTCCATTCACTGGTCCATGCCTCAAATGGCCAGAGCTGACTGGATCTAAAGCCTGGAGCTTGAAGCTCCTTCTGAGTCTCACACGTGGGTGCAGAGTCCCAAGGACTTGGGCCATCCTCTGCTGCTTCCCAAGCCATAAGCAGAGCACTGGATGGGAAGTGGAGCAGCCAGGATTCAAACCAGCACAGATGCCAGCACCGTAGGCAGAGGCCTATTAGCGTACAGTGCCAGTCCCCAAATGATAATCTCAAAAGCCTTCTGGGCCAGCATTACAATGTACTAGGTTAAGTTACCATTTGTAAATGCCAACATTCCACATGAACAGTTCAAATCCTGCTAATCCACATCCAATTCTACTCTATCAGCAGATGGCCTAACTACTTGGGCCCTTGCATTCAACTGAGATGAAGCCCCTGGCTTCTAGCTGCAGCTTGGCCCAGCCCTAAATGTCACACTCATTTGGGGATTGAACCAGCAGATGAAAAACTACTTGCTTTCTTTATCTCTCTCTTCCTCTCTTTCTCTCTCGCTGTTCCTTTAAAATAAATAATGCTTTAAAGGTGCCTGGCGCGGTGGCCTAACAGCTGAAGTCCTCACCTTGAATGCACCGGAATCCCATATGGGCACTGGTTCTAATCCAGCCCCACTTCCCATCCAGCTCCCTGCTTGTGGCCTGGGAAAGCAGTCAAGGATGGCCCAACCTTGGGACCCTGCACCCGTGTGGGATACCCAGAAGAAGTTCCTGGATCCTGGCTTCAGATTGGCATAGCATCGGCCGTTCCGGTTACTTGGGGAGTGAACCATTGGACAGAAGATCTTCCTCTCTGTCTCTCCTCCTCCCTCTGTATATCTGACTTTGCAATAAAAATCTTTAAAAAATAAATAAATAATTCTTCAAAGAAAAAAAAAGGAGACATCCTACCCACTAAGATGACATTATTTTTAATCTGTTAAAGACAAAAAATACGGGCAGGGTGTCTCCCCTTATCTCCCTCCTTATCCCAGATACAGGGGGAAAAAAAGAGAGAGAGAGAGAGAATGTGGAAACAAAGATCTTATCTGGAAGGTCCCAGGCCGAGTTGGACTCCATGCTCGGGGCCCTGATTCCAGCTACTGTGACTACGCAGTGAGCTGTCTGCAGGCCTGCCCTAGCTTGAGGCTTCTCCCTTCTGGTGAGGACACTGGAGAGGAAATTCTGGAGAATAGGGTGGGCCCAGGATCCACCCACCAACAACACCATGTGCAGCCTTAGGGTGGGAGAACTTCCAAGACAATGCTGGTGCCAGGCTCCACCTGCTGGCTGCCTGGCAGTGAGCTCTGGGGATTTGAGGTATGAATTGCTGCCTAGTTACCTCCATGTTTAGCTCACTGTGCTTCTGGGTTGGCAAACATTCCTGAAGGACTCTAACAGCAGAGTAACTTTTCCTTAAAGGTAAGCAAGGGTACTGAGACTTGGTGGTTTGGAGAGAGACCAGATGATCTTTATGGGTCACACTGATATACCAGCCTCTTTTGAGTCCCGTGTAGATCTTGTTATCACCTAACAATGCTGACCACCACATACCTGCCCATCAAAAGCTAAGGCTGGGGGCTTGTCTAGCAGGTCCAGATCCTAATACCTGACAGAATGCTGGACCAGGGGACTGGTCACATTAGACAGGTCTATGACATTAAGCAGCACACAAGGGAACAATTTCCTGGGGTAGATATCTGTGGAGAATGTGTGGGCCAAACCCTGTGGCAATACTAGTCCCACTGGTTAGTTTAAGAGTTGGGTGGTGATGGGCTAAGCTAGATGTGACCAAGGAATCTGCCATCACTCACGGGTAAAGGAATTGACAACACTCTGGGCGGGTCAAGGCAGCAGCATCCAAATGTGCATCCTAAATAGAGTGTGGGGTGGGCAGGGCTGCAACATTCACTAGTTCATACAAGGCCAAATGGAAAGGCAGACTATGCTGGACACTGGCATGTATGAGAACTGGGTCTGGGAGTGGGTCAAGTGGAAGAACTTGGGAAACTCCCCTAGAAGGTCATAGCTCCTGCTGATTATCACATGGTCCAGGCCTGGGGGTCGGGCAAGCTGGGCAAAGTAGCTCCAGTGTCTGGCTAATGTGTGGGTTGGTTATGAAAGGGGGTGGACTGGGCAGTGCTGAGCAAACCTTAGCTCACAAGAAAAAAACAGAAATCAGAATGGAACACAGGTCATCCCAAGCTAGGCTCTTACACCAACTGGTCTGTAATGTGCCAGGGACACTGAGCCACAGCATCTAAGTCAAAGGCCACAATAGGTGAGGGGCTATGCCAAGCTGAGTCAGAACAACCACTGGCATGTGCACAATCTATGGCTGGGAACAGGTCCAGTTGGGGAGCTAAGAAGACACCCTAGCTGGGTTGGGGTTCCCATTGGTGAGTGCAGGGGCTGAAGTTGGGGCTGCATTCTGGCGTGGATATGGCTGCAGTCTCCCTTGGCACAAGCATGAACTGGAATTGGACGCACCAAACTGGGCTAGATTCCAACACCATCTGGTGTTCTGGAGGACCAGGGTACACATAGGACAGACTAGGCTAGGTTTCTGCACCCACTGAACCATGTGTGAGCTGTGTCTGAGTATGGACGAGCCTTGGTTGGGCTGAAACATTCAACAGTAAGAACCAGAATGGGTTGAAGGCCTGTCAGCAAAGGCCACTGTTCCTGTTAGGACAGAAGGTGGACTAAGTAGGGCTGGCCCATGGACCCACCAGTATGTGCAAGATCTGGCATTGGGAGAAGTTCTGATGGAGGAACCTGGGGAACTCCTCTAGCAGGACACAGTCCCTGCAGCTAAGCCCAAGAAGCACAATAGGGAACAGCCTAGACCAGGCCAGGGAAAGGTACCCACCAGCATACATTTGGCACAGGTGAGGGGCAGACCAGACTGAACCAGTTCATATCACCTGCTGGCGAATCCAAGCACAAGAACAGAGTTTGGGTTGGGCCAGGTATAGTCGTAACACATATCAGTACACATTACAGCTGGGATTGGGTACATGCTGGGCTGGGCTAGAATGTAACCCCCACCAGTTGGAATTGGGGGTAAGCAGGGCTGGACCAGGCTACAGCACCCAGGGACAAATGCAGAGGTGAGGTAGGCCATGCCAGACTGGGCTGCAGTGCCCAACCAGCACAAATGAGAGCCAGGGAGGGAGGGGGTAAAGCTGGTAGGGGGAATGTGGAGGGTTTCCCTGCTGGAACACCTCAGCCACTGGACAGCGTGAGAAGGGATGGGGGCCGGCAGGGTTACAACACCTATGGGCCATGTGGCCCAGATCACGGAAGAGCCAGGCATAGAATACTGTCCCTATTGATGTAAGCATAAATCAGAATGGGTGAGGGTTGGCTGGGCTTTGCCACAGCATCAGATAGCAGATGCTAGCACTGGGGCTAATTCTGTGAAGTTACACTGCAAAACCACTTGGAGAGTATATGATCCAGGAGTGGGCCCAGAAAGGAAATAGTGGGCATCTCCCTCTTGGGTTATCACTCCCATTGGTGAGCATGAAAACTAGGACTAGGGCAGACCTGGTTGGATAGGAAGGCACCTACCAGCATGTATGTGGACTGGATAGTGGGGCTGGTAGGCTTCAATGTCCATTGATATGAAGAAGAGCTGAAAGGGATGTGGGACAGACTGGATCAGTCTGCTGTACACACTGGCAAGCACAGGAACCAGGGCAGGGGGCGGGCCTAGTGGGGGTTATTGTGGGTCACTCTGATTAGGCTGCAGCTCCCACTGGTTTGTGTGAGGGCCGAGTGTGTGCTGGGCAGAATCAGGCTGGACTGTAATACCCATTGGTTCCAGTGGAAGACATGACTGGAAATAGAACTGACCCAGCAATTGCAAACACCAGCTGATCGGGTATGATGGACTGTATTGGACCCTGTACTGGCAAGTACACACGAGAATCTGGTCTGGGATTACCTCAGACAAAGTTTCTTTGATTGGGGATCTCCCCAATCGAACTGCCAGACTCAGAACCCTAACAGCATGAAGAGAAGTGCAGGTTCCATGGTCTGCCATGGAGAGTGCAAGTGTCAATGCTGAGCCATCTCAGAGGCTCAGACAGAGCAGTGGACAGCATATCCAGGTGCACATGGAGGATATGGCAGTCCATTGGAACCTTCAGTGGTCACCTGGTATCACAACAGAGGATGGATGACAGAACAAATCAATCAATTACCTCAACCATGTGTTGGCAGTGAAAATCTGGGCAAATGGAGACACTAAGGAGGACTATGTCAGCCAGTGGGATTCCGGAGAGATTTCATTGTGTTTGGAATGGTGAGATTGGCAGCGAATCATAACTGTTGAACTATCAAAACCACTTGAGCATGACCCTTGGAGCATGCTCCACATTGGAGTTCTGAGATGGGTGGGACGCTGGGTGGGGCTTCTCCCTTTATCTCCCTCTTTACCCCAGATACAGAAAAAAGATGCAGTAATGTGGAAACAATGGCTTTATCCACTTTCCTGTAGCCCTTGACCCTTTGTGCCCTAAACATCTATGTTAAGATTGTCAAAAATAAAGGGAAAAAAAGATCTTATTCATTTCCCTATAGCCCTAATCAACTATGTAAAGATTATCAAAAATGATAATTATTTTTTTAAAAACAGAAATAATATACTCTACCCTGTCCTAATTCTAAGGTTACTGTGAGATGAGTAATATGGAAAACACAGAAGGAGCAATTCAATAACTTGAATAGAGGTATAACAGATATTAGAACTTACATTACAATCTTTTAGTGTAAAGAGAAAGAAGAGCATTAGATTTGGATCAGGTCTTAAATTCTTTTTATATACAAAATCTTTGTGGACATATTGGGATTACTTGAGAGGCTGCCACCATGGCATCACACACTGAGTATTTGCCTGCAGCACCAGCGTCCCATGTGGGTGCCAGTTTGAGTCTCAACAGTAATACTTCCAATCCAGCTTCCTGTCAATGGCCTGGGAAAGCAGTGGATAACAGGATTCTATATTCATACAAGACACCAGGAGATGATCCTGGCTCCTGGTTTCAGACCAGCTCAGCTCCAGCCAATGCAGCCATTTGGGAGGTGAAGCAGTAGATGAAAGATTTCCCTCTCACTGTCTCTGCCTCTTTGTAACTCTGCCTTTCAAATAAATACATCTTAAAAAAAAAAGATATATTTGAAATACACAGAAAGAGAAGAGATGTGGGGGAGGAGCGAGATCAGCAAAGTTTCCTCCCCAAATGCCAAAACCCATTGCTGGGCCAGACTGCAGCCAGTCTGGAACTCAACCAGGATCCATATAGGTAACAAGGACCTAACCATTTGAGCCATCACTTGCTGCTCCAAGGACATATATTACCAGGAAGCTGGATGGGAAGCAAAGCTCAGACTTTAACTCAGGTATTCCTGTATTGCATGTAGGCAATCCAAGCAGTCTTTAATGCTAGGCCAAATGTCACCCATATATTAGATAGTGTCATTCCCTGCTCAAACTCCTCACAGACATTACTACTGTACTAGAATATTATTCAAATTACAAGCTGTGGCCCCCAAGGTACAGTCTGATCAGCACTTGCACATCTCTGGCCTTGTCTCACTCCATGTCTAGCCACCAGTCATGCTGGCCTTTTTCCTGTTTCTAGAAAACAGTTTAATTTGTTCCTACCTAAGGAACTTTGTTCTTGCTGTTTCTACCATCTGGAAAACTTTGACCCAAAGGTACTCAGGACTGGTTCTCTCTCTTCATTAAGGGAACAGATCAAATAACACTACCTTTTACATGGGATACAATCTGCTTTCTCTTTGAAGACAGATACCCTCCTGAATTCATTTTGTTTCTTCTACTATATCCTCCATACAATACAATAACATTCCACAATAGATATCAGATCAGCTTAAAATAGATATCAGATATCAGATCAGCTTAAAATCTTCAGGCAATCTATTTCTTAAATGTCATAGGTCAGAGTCTTAAAATTGTATATCTAATGCATCTTCTTCTCTAGCTTCATTTCTCATCACTTCTGTATACATACCTGTTCCATTTGAAACAGACTTTTCATTAATTTCCTAACTCATCAGATCTTTTGACATCTTTTCCATACCACTGCTCCCCTTTTATCTTTATTTACATTATTCTTAAATCATTCTTTAAGTAAAAATTACCTTTGGCCTCTTAAATGTCTGAGCATGTAATCATATACACAATTGGAGCACTTCCATGCCATACTGAGATTGTAGTCACTTTTCTCCTCTGTAGACTGTAAGTTCCTTGAGAGTGCAAACCATGTTTCAAACACTTCTGCCCCTCTGACCACCAGTAAATAACAGAAACATCAGGGCAGGAAAAACATTAGGACAGTCTCTCATTACCTTCTCTTTTTCTTGAGCATCCCACTTCAGGTGTAAGAAATTTGAAATTTGGGGCTAGAAGTAACGGCTTAATGGGTTGGGTTGAGCCACTGTCTACTAATGGGCCTGGGAAAGCAAAAGATCCCTGTGCCCACATGGGAGACCAGGATAAAGCTCCTGGCTCCTAGAGTCAAACTGTCCCAACCCCTGTTGTTGTGGCCATTTTGGGAGTGGAACAACAGATGCAAGGACTCTCAGTATCCTTTCCACCTTCTCTGTAGCTCTCTCAAATAGTAAATAAATATTTTTTTAAAAAAATTCAAAATCTAACAAGCCAAATTCTTGAACCCTAGCTGAATCTTATTTATACACAAGTGAATATATGGCATTTGATCCCCCCTCATTTCACATCACTGCGTTCATCATTTGATCTCTTACATCAGATAGCCCACTAGAGGGTCCCAACATATGGCTAAGAAGGAAGGGAAAAAAAGGCTTTCAATAGAGCTGAACCATACACCACCTCCAGGCTTGTTATAGGTTTTATCAGAAAGAAAGTAGGCATTGGCTTCAGAAGTAATAAAATCACCTAGTTACCCACATGGTTTTTGCTTGCTTCTCATGAGCATTGATTGTTTCACTGCAAAACCAATAGAGAGGAGTAAATTAAAGTATGGGCATGTTTAGGATCGGCATTGTGAAACTGCAAGCCATCACCTGTGATGCCTAGACCCCAAGAGTGCCAGTTCAAGTCCTGCTGCTCCATTTCCAAATTAGTTCCCTGCTAACGTTCTGGGGAAAGCAGCAGCAGCTGTTGCAAGCTTATGGGACTGCCAGTCACGTGGAAGACCCAGATGGATGAAGTTCCTAGCTCCTAGCTCCTGCCTTTGGTCTGGCCCAGCACCAAATGTAGCAGTCATCTGTGGACAGAAGATCAATCTCTCCCCTTCTTCTCACTGACTTTCAAAATAAATAAATAAATCTTAAAAAGCAAAACAAAATGAAACAAAGTTTCAGGTATTCCTGTAATCCAAACGCAGAAACAAATAACTGCACCAGAACATTACTCTTGCAATATATAAATGTAAAATAAGCAAAAAAGAGAAATAAAGTGAAAGAAAGTAACACATTAATTACATGTTTCAGGAAGCCTAACTTTGGCTCTACAATTGGTGCAGTACTTTCTTAGAAGAACTAGAGTCCCAGAACCTACAGTCCCCCATTCATTGCACGAAGGCCCAGTCCCTACTCCCCGCGTCAGAGAAAAGCACAGCACAATATCCTCCTCATCTCTCTGTACCCGAGGACAGCAACACGATCCAAGTTTAGTTTCTTCCCACTGTCTGAATTTCCAGTGGCAACTGTAGCAGCCAGTAAGGAAGGTGATATAGCATCTGTAGTTGAAGATTTTTTTAATCCATGAACTATCCTTTTTCGATGTTCTTGTATTTATGGACTCAATCCTGCTGGCCTTGTTAGACATCATTCACCTTTGTGCTGAAAGGACAAATGAAATAGTCAGGATCTAGTATAGTTCCTCTTAATACATTCTATTCCAGTCTATTCCTATTCCACAGAAACACGATTTTTAAAGGTTTATTTCTATCATATACATACTTATTTATTTACTTATGCATTTGGAAGATAGAGGGACAGACACAAGGAAAGACAGGGGTCTTCCATTTCTTGGCTCATACCCCAAGTGGCCACTGGGTCTGGATCTGAAGCCAGAAACCAGGAAGCCCATCTGGGTCTTCTATGTAGGAGGAAGGGCCAAAAACTTGGTCCACCATGCACTGCCTTCCCAGGCTGATGAGCAGGAAGAACAGCCAGCGGCCGAACCAGCACTCTGACATAGGATGCCAGCATCACAGGAACCCAGCTAGCTGTGGCACAACGCTTGTGTCTCTATAGATATTCTAATTAAGGATACTTGGATTGCAAAGGCTTACAATCACCAATAATATACTGAATATACAGCACAAGAATGAAGTTTCATCCTACAGCTAATGACACATGTGGAATTACATAACATATTCAGAAGAGTTTTAGTAGTGGAAGAAAATTAGGCCTACATAAATGGTTGCTATGATGTGCTGCAAAGAAGCTTACTAATAAACTGAAAGAATCAAAGTATTTCTAATTATCTTGCCTCTACTCTGGAACAAAGCTCAAGAATAAGTTTTTAAACACAGGAAAGAACCTACAAAGTAAACTTCATTAAGCCCTATTGAGTTTTGTGAAGTAACAGGTACACAAAAAAGAAACAAACCATAAAGTATTAAAACTTTAGCAACATTTTAGATGATAGAATTAGAAGGCAAGGACATTAAAACATTGTAACTATACACCATAGATTTAAGAAAGTAGAGGGGCCAGTGCCAGTGGTGTAGTTTGTTAGTCCTCTGCCTATGGCATCAGCACCCCATGTAGACGCGGAATAGGGTAAGAACACATTTAAATGGACGGAAAAACATTTAATCAGGATGAAGCAGAGAGGACATATTCCAGGAAATAGGAAAGGACAGAACAACAGCAGAGGAGTACCTGGAGACTGACATACACAGAAAGTAGCGGACACAATGGTGTGGTGTTGCAGTAACTGATATTCCAGCAACATTCAGCAAACAGCAACCTGAACTCCACCAGCAGCCAGAACGCACCCAGCAACCAGGTGGGAAGGGACTTTCACTGGGAGCTTGGGAGGTAAATCTAGACAAAAAACTGTCCATCCTACTGGTCTGTTTGATTTGACCAGGAGCAGAGACAAAGCAACAGATCCCAGACGGGCAGTGCGAGAACAGGGTGGATTTCACAGCCTAGTCAGCCTCCTAGAGCTGAACTGGGCACCAGTAAAATGACAACAGAAGACTAAACCAATGAACCATTCCTAAAATGACAGAACCAAAGTACCATCCATACATATTAAACTCTGAATGTAAATGGCTTAAGCTCAATCAAACGTCATAGATTAGTAGACTGCATTTAAAAACAAAACTCATCTATTTATTGTCTAGAAAAGACACACTACACCAACAAAAATCTTCAGAAACTATATCACATGGGTTTTGTTGTTTTCTGTTAGTTTCATCTCTTCAAAACACTTTCTTCTGATTAAATCATTCAATGAATCGTAGATCATACAGCAGCATCATTTTCTTCAAGAAGGTTCTTGATTTTCATTTCTTCACCTACATGTTAGTCATTTAGTAGCATGTTATTAACTTCATGGTGTTGTTAATTTCTTTTTTCTCCCTGATGTTGATTTTGTTTTGTGGTTTTTCATTGAAGGGGATGTATAGTAACTGTAATGGAGACTGTCATATCTAGTAACATGTTATTTAACTTCATGGCATTGTAAATTTCTATTTTTCTTTCTACTGTTGATTTTGTATTATGACTTTTCATTTAAGGGGATGTACAGTAGCTGTGAAACAGAGACTAACATCCAGATGTGAGGCTACAATGCAGTATGCATTTCTACTTTTCAGACAAAAATGGACTTACAATAAAACTGTTTATTATTATATCTTGACAAAAGGATGCTGGTCTCTCTGCCATTGTCTATGCCTGCAATGATGGACATATGACTGTGTATGAAGAACTATATTTTAGTAATGATATAGAGGAACTAGGTGGCGGGGGAGGGAATTGAGGAGGGATAAGGGAAATGGCAGGAGCCTATGGAACTGTATTATAAAATGATAATAAGAATAATAATAATAAATAAAATATTTAAAAATAGCCATTATTTAAATTACATATTTTGAAGATACATTGTTGTTCTTGTTGTTGTTTAAGAGAATTATAAGAGAGATCTTCCATCTACCAATTGGCTCCTCAAACGGCTGCAGTGTCTAAAGCTGAGCACATCTGAATCCGAAAGCCTGGAACTTCTTCCAGGTCTCCCAAGCACTTGGGTTATCTTCCACTGCTTTCCCTGGCCATCAGCAGAAACTGGAATGGAAGTGAAGCAGCCAAGACTAGAATCAACACCCAGATTGGACGTCGGCACTGTGGGCAGAGGCTTACCTGCTACATCAAGTGCCAGCACCACAACTGAGAGTCTTAACAGCAGAACAGGATCAAGTGGAAGCATTTCTGACCTTAAGGATAAGAAATTTTAAAATAATCCAATCAGACAAAATAAAGAGAAAACAATTAAAAGGAATGAAGAAAGTCTACACAAAATGTAGGATACCATTAAACAACCAAATATTCTTATAGTAGGTATTCCTGATGGAGACAAATAGGGGAAAAGGATGTGGCAATCTACTAAATAATAGTTGGAAATTTCTCAGGTCTTGGAAGATAATTAGACACCCAGATACAATAAACTCAAGAACTCCAAATAGATTCAACTAAAAGGTCTTCTCCAAGGCATATTACTACCAAAATATCAAGTTACAGACAAGGAGCGAATCCTAAAAACAATAAGAGAAAAACATCAAGATAGACTAAAGAAAGCCCAGGTAACTCAATCGTAGAGTTCTCAGTGAAAACTCTACAAGCTAGAAAAAAAAGGGGATAATATATTCAAGGTTTTAAAAGAAAGCAATCTTTCAATCAAGAATATTATATCCAGCAAAGCAATCCTTTAAAAATGGAGTAATAGGGGCCAGTCATGATGGCCTGCAAGCAGTGGCATCCCATATGGGCACCAATTCATGTTCCAGCTGCTCTATTCAATCCAGTTCTCTGCTTACAGCCTGGCAAAATAACAGAAGATAGTCCCAAGGTCTTGGACCCTTACACCCAACTTGGGAGGTAAGGAAGAAACTCCCAATTTCCAGTTTCAGATCAGTTCAGTTCTGGCTATGTGCCAGGATCCCATATGGGCTTTCGTTCATATCCAGCTGCAAACTTCCCTTCCAGCACTCTGCTGTGACCTGGGAAAGCAGTAGAGGATGACCCAAAGCATTTGGACCCTGTACCTACACAGGAGACCTGGAAGCTCCTGGCTCCTGGCTTCGGATCAGCTGAGCTCTGGCCACTGTGGCCACTTGGGAAGTGAACCAACAGGTGCAAGATCTTTCTCTCTGTCTTTCTGCTCTGTAAAATCTGACTTTCCAATAAAAATTAAACATTTTTTAAAAGAAGTAATAAAGTATTATCCAGATAAGCAAATAGTGAGAATTCACCAACACCAGTCTTAGTAAACATGAAAATACAGGATACTACCAAATTCAGTAACAGAAAAAGAAGAATCATTGTCCAATCAACAAAGTAACAGATCTTAGTTCTTATCTATCAATACTAACTTTGAATGTAAATGGATTAAATTATCCAGCCAAAATACTTAGGTTGGCTGAATGGATTAAAAATAATAACAAAACCCACTATATGCTGCCTACAAGAAACTCAGTTCACAGATACACACACAGACTGAAAGTGAAGGGTTGGAAAAAGACATACTGGGTAAATGTGAACAAAAGGTATGCAGGCATAGCTTGCCTCATATCAGATAAAACACACTTTAAATCAAAAATGTAAAAAGAGATAAAGGACAAAAAAGTTCAACTCAGCAAGAAGACATAAGAATATAAATATACGTGCAACAACGCAAGACAGAAAATACTATCAGATGTAAAAGGAGACAGATCTAATACAATGAAGTGGGGGACTTCAACACCTCACTCTCATCAATGGGCAGGTCATCCAGATCAAAAAAGAACCAACAAGTATAAATCAGAGATGAAACATACTATCGAGCAAATGAACCTAGTAGACATTTATAGAACATTTCACCAAATGCTACGGAACACACGTTCTTCACATCAGCACATGTAACATCTTCAAGGACAGACCACATAATTAGGCCACAAATCAAGTCTAGGCCAAGTTAATAAGATTGAAATCGTATCTATTTTCAGATCACAAATGAATAAAACTTGAAGTCAACAAAAAAAAAAAAACCAGAAATTAACACGCCACTGAATGATCAACAGCTTACTGAAGAAATTAAAAAAGAAAATCAAAAACTTTATTGAAAATTAAAGCACAACATATAAAATCTGTAGGATACAGCATCAGCCATATTAACAGGGAAGTTTATAGCATTAAACACATTTTAAAAAGAAAAATGAGGCTGGTATGGTGGTGGCTGGCAAGCTAATCCTCTACCTGTGGTGCTGGCATCCCATACAGGTGCCAGTTTGTGTTCCAGCTGCTTCATTTCTGATCCAGCAGATTCTGTAGGGGACTTGTGGGCTCACCTCTGTGGAACTACAGCACCTATCAGTTTATACTGATAGATACCTGGGGGTGTGATAGATCAAGCCAGGTTAGACCACAGAACTCACCTGACACTTGCAGAGCTGAGGCTGGAAGGAGGTCTGGTGGGGCCAGGTTAAAACACCTGCTGGAGCATGCAAAGGCCAGGACTGAGGGCAGATCATGCCAAACAAAGCCAATGCATCCATTAGCACTCATGAGATCTGAGCTGGAAGCAAGCCTGGCAGGGAAACTTGGGGAATTTCCTTATTACTCTGCAGCTC